AATGTTGGTGGTCTCCAAATGATGTCATGGTGGCCTATCATCAGCCTTCGCATTTGTCGTACTAGACGAACAGTTCGGTCACGGCGTGTACCAGGCCCGACATTGTCGCAGAATCGACAAGTCTACTCAGTCCGCTTGCGCACCTTAGGTAGCGCGAACCAGCAAGCAAGCATAACAGCGTACATGCCAATTGCAACGGGGTGCAGTACCCAAGTACCTAGAGAATTAGTATCCTGATGATTGCGCATAGGATAAGGGTCACTCACCGGAAGCTTGCGCGAGAACACCAGTTGTGAAGGGCGCAACCGCACCACCTGAGCTTCCTGCTCCGCCAATGAATCCGATTGCAGTGGTTTGAATATGACGAGGCATGAGGCGCGAGAAGATGGTCTGCGCACATGGGTAGACGGGGCCCAACAACAAGCCCAACAAGCATACAGCGACTGCATTTCCGATCAAATTCGGTGTCAACCATGCCAGAAGTTGAAGGGCTATCGTGCCGAGAGTGAGGATGACGACAAATCTCTTCTCGCCTATCCTGGGCGCAGCGTGAGTGAGTACAAAACGACCAAGCGTGATGCCTCCCTATTCAACAATCAGCAGAGGCGAAACAATACACAGCAATTATACATACCCAGAAGCCTGCTGTGACATATCCGACCTTCGCAGGGTCACCGTTACGGTAATTGATGAGGTATGAGATGAACCAGCCTGAAATGCTTACTTCGGCTCCTTGGTATGCAAAGATGAACAAGGCGCCGAAGATCGTGACTTTGTTCTTCAAAGCGAGCTTAAGGTTCTTCATCTTAGAGGCAGCGTCTTCCGCAGCAGTTTGTCTGCTGGTCGTAGTCTCCAAGAGCGTCTCCTCAGAGTCTTCCGTGTATGACCAGAAGGACCATGCTGCGAAAGCGATGCAGCAAAGTCGCAGTCCGACGGTAAGGAAGTAGAAGCGCGACCACAGAATTCCTTGTGAGACGATTGCTGTTCCGATGATGGGTGCAACTATTCCACCGACGCCATAACTACCGTGCGAGAGGCCAAGGATGACAGAAGGTGGATGAGTGTTCGCACAATAGACGTTGTTGAGGGCCAAGTTGATGGCTGCACCAAATCCCAAGAGGAAGAATCTGAAATTGTCAACGGTGCGTTACTGAGTTTCAAGATTTGATACTTACGATACAACGACCAAAGGATACGGAGGAGTGCAAACAAGGATAACGTATGCAGACAACTGTATCAATTCTGCTATGATCAGAGTCTTCGCCCTTCCGAACTTGCCTAGGATCGTGTTCGTGAAGAAGGCGGCAGAGATGAAACCGATGGCGTTACCAATGAAGACCAGAGACATGATGGAGTACGAGATGTGGTAGTACGACTCCATGTACGGAATCAAAGCACCGACGACTGGCCACTGGTTAGTCTTGATTCGATCAAGTAATCCAAAAATGGCAGGTCTATATCAATGTCTCAACTCACCTGAGTCGTTGATTCCGTTTGAAAAGTAGATCAAGCAACAGCAAAGAATTCTCCATTTGGTCATCGGTTGAGCGTTCCAGGTCCTGATGGTACCAACCGCATCTTCTCGATTCGGTGTGGCCGGACGACTCATCTCGAGTTCATTAGGGGTCTTCGGGGTCTGTGCGCCCTTGGGCAATTCATGCTCTGTATACGATGCCTGTCGGTTATCGTCTGTTTTGCGAGAAGCAAAGTCTGCGAGTTCGACGTCTGGTAGTACGCCTACATCGCCGAGCGTTTGCGGTGCTTTGCCCTTGCCCTTCTGGTATGTCGGTTCTGGGTTGGTCACGGAGGCAGGCTGAATGTCGAAGAGACTGTGAAATTTGGACGACATGGCTCCAAATTCCCGGTCTGCGGTGTCCTTTTGCGAACTCGAAGAGGATGCAAAAGCCCTGGACTACGCGCCTGAGAAATGTTCTTTCTGATTGTGTGTTTCAGGTAGTAGGAAGTAATTGGACGTTCAAGTTCAGTGCAGATGCGAAGGGAAGGGTCATAAATAAGAAAGTAGCCCGAGCGACGATGTGCGGAAGACCCTAGACCCTTAATACGGTAGTCCACGAAGTACTCGACGAGGACACTACTGGGCAAAGCAAAGGCTGAGGGCGCTATCGCTGATAAATCATGGGATGCACAATTACCCTACATTACCAGATAAACACGCGCCGGCTCCGACTTGGGGCCTATCACAGCTGGCGGGTAAGTATCGTGTGGTCGCGCTGCAGCAGTGTGGAGATGGTGAACGGTCGGTAAGCAAGTCGATCATAAAGCCTGTGAAACGTTTTGCAGGGACACAGACGCGTCTAATGGTGCAGATAGCCGTTCATTCCTGGCAATGGATCCGACAGTCGGAGGGAACTGGGTCTAGGCCCGTGACCAGAAAGGGCGCAATACCCAGAAGGTTGTGAAAGTGCGAACTTTTGGGGTTCGGAGGGGCGGGGACAACTTCCCCACTGGGCTCGGCCACACCTTCCTGCTTGGAAATTCACGAGCACCCCTCCCATATTGTCTCCAAAACTACCACAACCGATAACTTCTCCACCCTGCTTACCAAAGCTCAACCCCAACATGGCCCGTCCAAAGCGCAATGTCCTTGCCACTATAGACAGCACAATCACACCGCCTGACGCTTTGGCGCCCAATCACGCGATCGCGCGCATCACCAAAGCCGAAGGCAAGAACATCTATGCCGCCGAGCTGCCAGACGGCAAGCCTGTCCTTGCCGAGCTAGAAGCGAGGTTCCGATCAACAGTATGGATCAAGAGGGGCAGTTACGTGGTTATAGATATGTCTGCTCTGGCGGACCGTGAGAACAAGCTGGATGGAGAGATTGTGAACGTGGTTCGCGATGAGAAGGCGTGGAGGAAGATGAGCTACTGGTATGCTCAAACGGGTATCATATAGTATGTGTACAGAGCGCTAACAATAGTATACAGGCCCAAGGAGTTCGTAAAGAAGTCGACGTACGTCCAAGACAGCGACGACGAGGAATCGACCGTCGGCAAGATGCCGCCCAGCGACTCAGACGAGGATTGAGTTCTTCGTCGCATCACTCGGCGTGCGCATGGTCCTCCTCAATTATACCCTTCGTCACGCCTTCGTACTCCTTCCTCGTTCCCCACCATACGCCCGCGACCGTAATCGCCAGAACGCCCACGACCGTCGCCGAGCTTGCCGATGTACTCGGGTACACATTCCACGCCCACTCTTGCGCGCCCCATAATGCATATACAACGGCTGGGTTGAAGCCTGCTTTCCACAGCAAAAACGGCGTGCACCACGCGACATACGCGTAGAACTGGTAGTGCAGACTCCGCGCGCAAAGGAGGCCGATGGTCATCGCGGTCAACATCGTCGTCATAATGAAATCCGGGGTGATCTTGCTGGACATGGTGTCCTGGTCCCGGGGCTCAATGGCTGGAATACAAAGCTTGAGGAATTCTTTGACATTGCGCTTCGAGGGCTTGATCCAGCGGGTTCGCGCGTACCAGATGAGGAGGCCAACATGCAGAGCGAGTAAGCCAATGGCGAAAGGGCGCGAGAGGAACGTAGATTCCGGGACGAAGCGCCAGTTTACGGTCCATTTGTAAAGGAAGGCACGGCTGAGCTCGAAAGCGCGGGCGAAATAGCTTGGTGCGCGCTTCCTGAAGGGGTAGCCATACAAAACCTACATTTTGATTAGCATCAATTGATAAGAGTCCATGACCGATGATTTACTTACCGAAACCTGCACGATGATCATGGCCTGTGTCAAGGCTTCTCTTCCACCCAACTTCATGACCATCAGGATACCCATTGCTGGCAGAGGCAATAACAGGCTCATCTTGACGTTTAGGCCTGTGCTATACAGCGCGCTCCCCAGATGCCATTGATCGCGTTGATAGCAAAAGACAGCCAGCCAGAAGAAGAGCACCGCGAAACAATCATTGAAGCACCGTAGCATGAAAATGCTATGCATGCGCTTTGATAGAATCAACAGCGGAAAGATGTAGGGTGGAACCTATCAACATGTCAGCTTCCAACATCAACAGCCAGAATGGGAAAGTACTCACCCGCGCCTTCCTATAACATTGGAACACCACACCAAGCGTAAGCAGATACACTCCCGCGAAAATGTACTGCGCGAGAGCGATATCCCGCCCTTCATCCGTCCACTTGTAAAGATGCTTGTAGATCCACACATGCGCACCAGGGTACACGAGCGGACCTGTCGAACCAGCAATATTCTTATAGTCGCGCTCGCCTTTTAGATAGATGGCTATCTGTTGCATATAAGTTGTCCAGTCTATCTCCGTATCTAGAAGCCTCGCTGTTAGGACACGTGGTGCGTTTCCGGTGGTGAGTGAGAAAGGAGCACGAACAAGGTATCTTCTCGATTATCACGCCTGAGAGCGCGGCGTCTGCTACGAGGAGGAGCGGAGTCATCCATCTTGTGTGATCGGGATTGTAGGCTAGGTCTTTTGCGCGGGCGAGGAGCGACATGGCGGCGTTTGTTGCACGCGGTTTTTGGTGATGGCAAGTTCGGGGGTTAACGATGCTGTTATAGTTCGCGTCGCGTGTCACGTGGGAAGGAGGTTTGAGGTTTCAAGGATGGCAGTTTCGCGCGACGTGTGTTTCAGGCATCATTCTTCTCGTGCGAGCTGTGGGTGGTGGTTTGACGTCGACTGCACGTTTTGTACGGAGTCAGACGCTGTTGCGCTATTTGAGGCAAGCGCGAAGGTTGCGCGTCCAGGATTTCGACACTCTTTCAGTCAAGTCTTTATATAAAATATTCAATTCAAAAGCTGTCTTTCCAATAAATTCAGTGAACAGACTCAAGTCGCAGCTCAAGCACGTCTTTGACACAAACATAGCACGATGCTGTTGTCGTGGTCAGAGTGGCACGAGTAATGAGGAAATTAATGTTGCATTAGGTCTAGGGTCTAAAGAATGTCTATACAGGAAGCGCTGGGATAATTGGGAGTGCTAAGAAAGGTCATAGCCTATTCTTAGTACTGGCTGGGTGCCGGACACGCAGGAGCAGCGGCGGCGGGAAGCGGGACGAGGGTGACATAGGCATCGGAGACACCCTGGCAGACGAAGTCCTGAGGGCCGTTGCCACCGGCACGGCAGTAGCTGGGAAGAGTGGTGGTACCGACATAGGTGAGGCTGAGGAAATGTTAGCAAACTTGAACGACCCGCGCATTCAAAGGTGTGGAAATGACTTACTCGTTGTCGACGCCCTGCTTGATGATCAGACCATCACGGTCGCTCGAGAAAGCGAAGCTGATGAAGCTGTTCTCGCCGCAAGAGTAGAACTTGTTGTCCTCAAGCTTGTCGGCCTGAGAAGAGCAGGTGAAGTCGAGGGTACCTCCGTTGGTAGCCTTGATGTTGAAGCCGAAGCTGTTGTAGTAGGTTCCCTCAGGCTTGCGGCCGAAGAAGTTGGAGATCTTCCAGACGTAGTCACCCTGTGTCGAAACTGGGCAGGTGGTCTGGCGGACCTCAAGGGGTGAAGCGCTGGCAACGGCAGCGGCAGCGAAGAGAGAAGCGATGGTGGTGAACTGCATTTTGATGGAGTTGGTTTGAAATTGAGTTGGAGTGTTGAGTAGTGTAATAGGTTGTTGTTGTTATTGAGTGTGAGAGTTGATGTTTGATGATGAGTAGAAACTGAGATACCTGCCTGGCATTATATAGTCATCTCCCTCGTATTGAAGCGTCGTACTTCTACCCCGATTATCGTGTCCGCCTAACCCCAAGGTTCAACACGAGGAGGTTGACATCAAGCGTCATCCTTGGCCATACTCACTAGAGCACACGAGAAGAGTGTACCATGAAACTTCTCCCGGAACACGAGCATCGGTCCATGCCGGCGGCGCCGAAAAGACACTCTTCCCCAGTTTTGGAGCCTCAGCATGCTTGCTAACGGTGTCGCGACCGAGTAGCGGCATCCGGGGCGACCGGATGGGGCGACAAAGATGTCCTATCCGGGCAGTTGGTAAACCTAACGGGGCTTGAACCTTACTAAACATACGAGATGTGACGTCTAGTGTGATGGACCAGGTATGCACAGTAGCATTGGGCGCTGCCCGGTCGGCTGGCTGTGCAATACCTCGCTTCCGAGCGCTAGCCATATGACGTCCTGAACTGCAGGTTTTCTAGTGGCTGTTGCCATGCCATGCATGCCATTTTAAGCGACTATTTCTTTGATATTAGTATCGGCTCAGTACATTTGAGAGTGCCCAGGAAGGACTTTAGTCCATCCACACACTGGACGAGTAATAGAGAATTTCCATGCTCGAGACATCGAGCATGAGCGCTGTGAGTCTACTCGTGTGAGGAAATTGGCCATGCGAATGATGACGGTGATCCTGTAGAGTTCGACCAGTGCGTTCCCGAACAACCTCATCGTCCAAGATTTCAGGTGGTCTGAGTGCAAGGGCGAGGGCAAGATCAGTAATCGGCGTTCCCTTTATCACCTTGAATAATTAGCATGAAGATCTCTCGTGAACGAAGGATCGAAATACGACATCGCTTGGGATTGAACCGAGATGGTGGGAAGTTGAGCCGTGACATCTGCCCAGGTGGAGTGAGTTGCATCATCGAACCGGTTGTTGCGGGTGTGGCTGCCGATCACCTGGATGGCCCGAGCCCAGGGTCCACGCTCAAACACAGCCCTGGAGAGCTTGACACCAGCACCAACACCACTAACGCACCCTCGGAGGAGCTCCGTCGGCACGCTATGTTTGCTATTTCTGTACCTGCGATCGCGGGCTCGGCCTCAATTCTGCACGAAACCTTCACAACCTAGATGCACATCTAACTTGAGGCACCATGACGAGTGGCGACAAACTCAAAGCAACTTCACCACCGTGCGCAAAGCCATGGTAGTACCCAACTATTTCACGGTTTTTGTTGGTCATCCAGGAGATCTCATCGTTGCTTTTGCGAACTGTCGGCATCTGCCATGATCTCACCTGATGACTGAACATTTCGCTAATTTTCTCGGACTCGGTCGGATAGATGTCCTTGCACTCGGTGCCGTTAGGACCGATAAATCATCAGAGATGTGGACGCGGCAACGATGTACGGAATCAGAGAACACTCTTGTTGACGGTACAATGAAGAGAAACTCAGTCGTGATTAGCCAAGGCTGTTTGGCAAATCCTTCAATCTACCGCTCACGAATCCGGCTGGAGCTATTCAACCGTATCTTATGCTGGACATTCAACAGCGGATCAGTAAGGGCACACGTCTTACACGAGGTCATACGTAAGACCCTGACACAATACACATGGGCGGAGGGAAGGATGAGACGAGACCAAGGAGAGTGAAAAGCACACCCAGTGTAGCGGTGTCGTCCATCCATGGAATTTGGAAGTACGCATGATGAGAGATGGTACAAGAATTCTTCTGCGTGGCAAGTTTGAAGGCCGAGCTTTCAGATGCAAGCATGCATGTAAGGGTAACAGGTTCCGAGATCTACCACCATCTGTCATACGGGATGTGTTGCGGGTGTTGTCACAATGTCCCGATTGCGGAATGTGTTGCAAAAGGAGGAGGTGTACCACAGTAAGTACCCGTCCTACTACCGTGGCTCACCGGTCGGAACACAAGGTCAACATACCAAGCCAGCAAATCGATGGCAGCATGCATTGAATGCGGTACACGCGGAACAAATCATCTCCCAACAACGGGTACGTACGCGCGATACTGGTTACCCAAGAGTATCTTTTAGGTGTAAACCTCAATCTGGTCACTTTTTCATGCTCGTCGCCCGCAATCTTATCGGCTTTTGCTGCTCTCTTCCTTCTTTCCAACTAAATTGGCTTGCCTAAATCACGGATCCTTCTGAGATGGAAGCCACCTACACCAAGAAAGGAAATCTTAGCTATGACTATGACGAGAACGCCGACGACGATTACCCGGGCAGCGAGGGTAACCAAAGTGGTGAAAACGGAGACGCCAACGGTGAAAGCGATGACGTTGATGAAGCTCTCGACAACGCTTCGGTAGATGACATGGATAGCGAGCTTGGTGACGATGTGGCCAGCGACAGCTCCCCTATTGCATCCAGTGATGATGAGTGGGAAGACGAAGAAGAAGCAGAAACTGAAACTATCAGCGTGGAAAACAACGACAGCGGCTCAGATGACGATGCCAAATTGATCGATGATGAAGTTGTCGACACAGTGAGCGACAATAGCAGCTTGGACAGTGAAGCAAATAATACCAGCGAAGGAGCTACGGTGACTACCGCAGCACGGTTTGTAGGAGAGTTCGTCATATACGACAGGGAAAGCACTACACACCAAGAGCACGACATCATCTCGACAACTACGCGAATTGCTTTGAGGGGTTGGGAGCAGTCCCTGAAAGGACAGAGTGCTAGAAATCCGCCAACTCAGACTACCTACCAAGCATGTCAGCCGATCAAAAATGACCAATTGAAGAGCACATACCAATCGTTCAACAACCATCGGACTGCCGACGGGGACCGGAAGAAGATTCTACGATCCCTTCCCGAAGCACCGACCCTGCTAGACACATCGAGCCTCCATCAAAGTCAAACATCAGCTAGTGTGCAGAAGCCCACAGGCTCAAAGAAATCAGCGTTCAAAAAGCTGAAAGACACCGTTCTCAAAGGCCCCACTCGTCATCGAACATCAGAAAAAACGAGGAAGTCTGGATTCAGCAATCAAACTGATGGGGTTCACGAGCTCTCCGTTCCGGATGAATCAGCTCAGCCGACCGAAGCCACCAAAATGCCTAAGATAGCGAAACACGCTCCTGTGTTCCACGAGATGGAGAGTGTGCCCGTAGTGACTGCCACTCACAGATGCAGGAAGGCAAAGCAACAGCCTACGCTCCATGAGCTGGAAGGAGCTCTCGGTCACGTTCCCAACAACTCAAAGCAAAACTTCACGATCCATGAATTGGAGGGAACGAGCGGTCAGACCACCAAAATCACCAGGAAGCATTCTACAGTTCATGAACTGGATAGCGGTGCTGTGGTATCTGCGGGCCAGGGTCTCTCCAGAACAAAGAAGCAACCTGTCATTCATGAGCTGGAGGGAGTCGCCAGGCGTATTCCCAAGAACAGAAATCCACAAGCTACGGTTTGTGAACTGGACGGTATGCCTGCAAGGTTCGCCAAGCACCTGTCTCAGAAGACTGGGCAACAATCCATACTCTGCGAACTGGAAGACATACCTACGACAGTCACCAACCGTACCCCAACGGAGCCCAAGAACCGTACAACGATCCATGAACTGGAGGATGTGCATCAAGGGGCCTCCAGTCGCGCTACCGACGATAGTAAGAAACAACCGATGTTTGGAATGGACGGTACGCTACTCACGAATAGCATTACCCTCTCTTTGAGATATCGAAGTAGCACAATCACAGAGAGCAAGCCCGACGCTGAATTATTGTCTGATCAAACCCTACTTTGCTCTCGCACCCATGCTCCTTCCATGACAGCCAGCGACACATCAGAACCCTATATACCTACTAGCTTCTCCAACCCGCCTAAGGCCCTTCTCAACGGCATCTTCGCTGGCGTGAGGAAGCGTAGTAGAACGTCTACAATGGGTATATTCGATCATTCATCGCATGTCATCATAGGCTTCAATCCATCGGCAGAGTGTTACGGACCTTATGAGGACGCTGGATTGCAGAAGTACAAGACGGCCAAAGATGGTTTAACACTGTGGTGGAAGCCTTACTCGCCATTTGATGACTACTTGACTAGCGACGACGAAGTTGAGTGATGTGGGAGGCTGGCATATGAATTCTAGGGTGATTTCATTTCATTACGTTGCGTTATAGTTCCGACCAAACAATAGTTGCTTCACTAATGTAGTCGTTTATTTCATCATCTCCCACTCAGGAACGTCTCCAAGTATGCTTGCAATGGTTGGAGCGAAGAAGCATGCAAAGCCAAGCCTCTGACGTAGTATCCCAACCTAAAGCCTGCCCATATATTGTGCAGGCTAATGACAACCATACAGACGATGCCATAGGATAGCTGTAATGCCGACGATCCGGTCAGCACCTCGCAAGATATACACCAATCAGGATAACACTCAGCCGAACGTCATATGCCTCTTCCACCTCAAATAAGAGGTCCTCTCACAAGAACGCCTAGATCACCATTCCCTTTTTGCTTTTTGAATTTCCAACAACAACAAGGTTCATTGGTTACGCACACGATTCTAGGATACCGACCCCTCCATCAGCAACAATGTCAGGCATCTTCAGCCTCTCAAAGTACCTTCCCCGCGCCTCTCCTCGTCATGTCCAGCCTTGCGACAGCGAGAAAGGCGCGGAAGACTACGGCCTCGACGTAATGCTCGTTTACCCAGAGTCGAAGGAATCGGCTGAAGACTGGCCAGCAAAGTTCCGAGCTATCACAAAGTCAAATGTGTATAGCTTTCGTATGCGGCCGAAGGCACTGTACCCAGAGAAGGATTTTGAAAACTCTTCAGAAGAGGATACAGATCTGCCGACTGATCCAAAACCAGAAGGCGCTTACGACAGGTCATCGACAAGACTAGTTGTATTTGTAGCTGAGACACCTGAGGCTCGAACTGTTTATGACGAGGTGCGCCTGCCTGAGCCGATCGTGCTCGACCACATGAGAAGACGGATACCTTTCGCTGGACGTGTCTATGGCGTAATCGAGCTGCGACGTAAATCCAATCTCGGATTCACATGCATGCTCACGTGGGGGCAATGGGGCTTGCACAACATCGTGAAGAATTACTACGGCTGCCGGCATTCGACCGATATGTGTCAGTCTGCGAAACAACCGAGGATTGTCACCAATCCGTCAATTGGCATGGTTATCTTCGTTACGATTATGTCCATGTTGGACTACTGGATGCAGTACGATCTCAATCGAGGGGACCGTTACCAGCGACTATGCTTGCTTACTGGAATCGCTGTGGCCTTCTTTGTGTCCTTCTTGTTGAGTCAGTCTGGTCCGTCCATCAAATCAATAGTTACGTTGATGGTTGCGATGAACTTGGCGATGACTTGCAGCGCTTTGGGGCACTTGATCTGGCGGAAATACTTCAGCACGTGTGAGAGGCGACTTGAGATGAAGCTCGATGAGTGGAAGGAGGAGGCACGGCGTATCCAGGTTTACTCCCAAAAAGACCTCAAGCTCGAGTGCGAAGCCCAGAAGCCCCACGTTATGAAGTTCCACGAGCTGGACTAGACGGATCGAGTTTTGATCAGTATGCTGGTGGTGCGACGGAAAAGCTAGAGGGGAACTCGTGGCGAACAGCCCACGTCATTCATGTATTTCAATGTGAGGGCGGCTTGGGTCAGGATATTGGGCAGTATTGGTCTTCTTGATTGCACGCGAGGTCTATTCCCACTGTGTGCCTTTTAGTCGTTGCATGAGATATTCGACTTCAACCTCTTTTGTTAGGGGAATGACCCAATCCTGTGTTACCTGTTAGTACGCTGTGTATATACTGAGACCACCTAACGTACCTTGTACATGCCAACGACGGCGTCTGCATTCACCTTGGACGAGCCGTTTGCGCCCAGGTCCGGGTCTGTGCCGTAGGTCTTGGCCTTTAACCTCAGTCTCTCCAGTACCTTCTTTTCCACCGCAGCATTTGTGATGGCCTCGTCGATGCCTTTCCTGTCTTCGTCCTTGATCAAGTTGACGAAGCGCTCCGTCTCCTGCTGGAACTTGGCCTCGGCAACGAACTTGCCAAAGTGTATGCGCCGCGACAGGGACTGGATGGTCATAACATCGCAGGTAGCAGAGGACCCGTAGTTCTCTTGCGACTCTCCCCTGTCCTCGCGGTCTGTCTGCAGACATGCGGCGGGCAGGATGTGCTTGATGTAGCAGTCTTTCAGCTGGGCGTTGACGTTGACATTGTTCGGGTGGAGGATCTGCGGGTAGTTGAGGGGCTTGAGGATGGGCTCCTGGAGGACCTCTGGGAAGAAGGGGTATTCGTCGGGCGACTGGTAGCGGCGGACGAGGGACTGCAGGCGCTCCTGTTCGCGGAGCATCCAGTCGAACAGGCTGGTCTCGGGCTCGCCAATATCGACGCCGCCGGGGACGTAGATGGTCCTGTTGAGGGGGAACTGCACGCGCTCGATTAGGTGGAAGGTGATTGTATCCTCGAGCCGACTGTTTGCTGTCAGTGAGACTCAGGCGCGTATGGCGGGGAGGCGTACATGAGCTGGAAGCGGATGTTGGCCAGGTCAAGCGCCTTGGACGCGTCGGAGAGGTCAATTGCCGCGTCCATGGTTCCTCCTCAAAGTCCCAAAAGGGTAGGTATGCGGGTGAATGGTGTTTGCAGCCATGGCAGTCCGGTCGTGTCCCGAGCATCGGCGGTGCTCTTCGGCGGATGACGCAGGCGGGTGCCGACTGCTGAGCTCGATAGTCCTCCCCTCCGCAACACCACTACCTAGGTATCACCACCTCGAGCACCCCGACGCGCCTCACCGCCTATTGGCCTTTTGTAGCACACGCGAGCCGCACGATTTGACATGCAAAGATAAAGAATGCCCTAGCGACGTCTCCTTCACTGCGCCGCCCTTGAGTCTCCCGCCACGCCTGCTCGCATGGCCTCGTCAACCGCCCGCAATGGATCCCCAGGTCGCGGCCGGTCCACCAGCCCGCGGTCGCCGCGGTACTCGCAGGCCTTTGACGACGACGACGAGAGCAGCTTCATAGACTCGCTCCCCGATGTAGCCCCACCGCACCTTCCCTGAGCACACGGTGATGCTAATGCTCGCTAGACCCGCCATCTGCAAGCTTTTGGCAAAAAAGTCACAGCCACCGCCGGCAGCTTGATAGGCGCCGAAGGAGTCTCCCAGCACTACCAGAACGCCATTGGCGAGCTCCACCGCGAGCTCCGCCGCCCGCTGATGCAGCGCTCCGTCTTTTCCTTCGCCCAGACCACCCCCCGCGAGATCGTGCGCTCGCGAATCTCCGTCCCCGAGATCCAGCAGCGCGCCCTTGCCTACATCCCCAACGACCTGCTGTCCAACATCCCCGAGGACAACGCCGAGTTCTCCCTCTTCCAGGGCTTCGAGGCCTCGCTGCCCGACGCCCCCGACAGCCATGCGAAGAAACACGGCCGCCACAATGCGCGCGGCCAGCGCCTGATCGGTGGCGGGGAAGACGACGACGATCCCAATGTGCCCCCCTCGATGCAGAAGCTGAGGAAGCAGCGCAACAGCATGGGCCACCGCCTCGAGATGATGGGCGTGCGCAAGCACATGTGCGTGGCCGAGATACACGAAATCGACAACAAGATCGCCAACCTCAATACCATGCGCAAGATGGTCCTCGACCGTCTGGCGGGGCTTGAAATCGAAGAGGGCGAGCTGGAGCAGGACCTGCTGACCGTGGACAACCGCATCGAGGACCTGCAAGAAGAGCTGGACGACGAGGCTGCACTGGCGCCCAAGACGGCAGGGTCGCAAACAAGCGACGAGCAGTCAGAAGGCAAGGGCGAATTCATGTCCGAGTCTATATACCAGAAGATACCCTCCTCGCCCAAGACGAAGAACAAGGCCAAGAGGCTGTCAAAGAGGATGTCCATGCCCGTACTACACGAGCATCTACAGTCAGGATCCAAGATCAAGGAACTGCCCGCGCACATGGACGCCATCACCGCCATGGACTTTGACGCTCCGTGGGGCATGATGGTTACCGCATCGCTAGACGACACAGTAAGAGTATGGGATCTGAGCGCCGGACGGTGCATTGGAATGCTCGAGGGTCATCTGTCTTCCGTGCGCTGCTTACAGGTCGAAGAGAATATCGTCGCAACCGGCTCAATGGACGCTTCGATAAAACTCTGGGACTTGAGCAAGGCCGAATACGCGCCCATGGACAACCGGATAAACAAGCCCGATGAAGAAAGTGACGACGGTCTGGCATTTGAAAACTCGGAAGACGCACCCCCTGCGCCACCGTCGACCAGCATGCAGGACTGCCCTCTCTTCTCCCTCGAATCACACGTCGACGAAGTTACTGCGCTACATTTCCGTGGCGACACTTTAGTTTCCGGTTCTGCAGATAAGACACTACGGCAATGGGATCTGGTCAAGGGACGATGCGTGCAGACGCTCGATGTCCTCTGGGCTGCCGCCCAAGCCACAGCTACGAACACCTCCAACAGCACATGGCGACAGACGGGACGCTCTGCCGACTCCTCTGCCGACTTCGTAGGCGCCATACAGTGCTTCGATGCTGCACTTGCTTGTGGTACCGCTGACGGTATGGTACGTCTATGGGATCTGCGTAGCGGGCAAGTTCACCGAAGTCTCGTCGGTCACACAGGCCCTGTCACCGCCCTGCAATTCGATGATGTCCATCTCGTGACCGGTAGTGCCGACAGGAGTATTCGCGTAAGTCAACTTTCTTTCCTCCGAGTCTTCCCTGACTAACATGCACAGATCTGGGATCTCCGAACCGGTGCTATTGCAGACGCCTACGCTTACGACCACGCCATCACCAGCATGATGTTCGACTCACGCCGAATTGTGTCTGCTGCAGGTGCGGACGTAGTCAAGGTCTACGACAAGACAGACGGAAGGCACTGGGACTGCGGACCCGGAGCTGACGAGAACGACAAGACGACACACTCCATCATCGAACACGTCAGGATAAAGGATGGCTATCTGGTTGAAGGACGTAGAGACGGTACCGTTGGTGTCTGGTCGTGTTAGCAGAACTATAGAAGTAGAAGCGATGAGGATTGTATATAAGAACGGGCTGCGCATATGCCAGTCATGTAAATGGCAAAGTGTTGCACTGTTGCAGAATACTCATTACGATATCACTACCAATCAATTTTATGCCACTGCAAGGACCAAGTTTTCGTCCACCCAACGTCAGTCGTGACGCAGGCGGGCCGCTTTCAGACGGGAGATCGATACAGACATTATCCACAACGACCGTGCTAACTTCAATCAAACACGAAGTCTGCCCGGGCGGGATGCATGCTTGGTGAGGAACAAGTTCAGTACACTAGTAGAGAATACATCAGCTCACAGTGATGTTTAGAGACGTATCCGCGTTATTGCAGGCCATGTTACAATCCCATCTGTGTAGTAGAGACATGGAAACATAGTTCTGACAGGCACAGCAGACGTTACAAGCACGCGGCAGACGGGCCCAGTGGAAGCTTGGTTGGTGGTGGAACCATGCAAGGATGGCCCGCGAAGCTCCGATCTGCCATGGTGACGTAACGCTGAACCCCGATTGACATTTCCGCGCTCTGAGACGCCTATCCCTGCTCCCACGCCGCCGTGGCCTTTGCATACTACATTCGCTTGTCCTATCTACCTATGCCTTCTCATCTCTAATTTTGCAATTGAAGAGTCAATTGCTGGTAACCCTCGTGTAGGCGCCTACCTCTATCCCATCTCATCGCCGGCTTCCTCTCCCGGTTTCACGCGCTCCGCTCGAGCTCCGAATTCCCGCGATGCTCCCACGACAGGCCGCGTCGCTGTCGCGCGGGTACAATGCCACCTCCAGGGCCTCAATTCTCTGCAGACGGTTACCGCGAGCGACCAACACACAATTCCGCACGTCCTTCAGCAATGGCAGCCCAGCATCCGCTGCGAGACGCGCCGTCCTACAGACCTCACAATTAAGCAGGCAAACCCCCACCACGACCGCGATAAGAACCGTCTCAACGAAACCTCTTCAAGCTCCGCGATCACGCCTCGCTCGGTATGCCTACCGAACAGCAGCCATGCTCGGCTCTTTCGTCGCCGTCAGCGGTGTCTTGGTCATCGCCTTCTTCGTCTACGACGCCTACACATACAACGAGGACCCTATTGCGACCGATATCCCCGTCTCCGAGCTCGCACTCAGCCCGAGGAGAGGTGGACCCAAGAACCTGCCTATCGCCGACCACTTCGTTGACGACGATGAAACGCCCGAGAATAAGAAGCTCAAGCACAAGCCAAAGTTGGTCATACTGGGTACGGGCTGGGGTAGCGTGGCCCTTCTGAAGCAGCTGAACCAGGATGACTACCACGTTGTCGTTATTTCGCCGTCCAACACCTTCCTCTTCACGCCGATGCTGCCTTCCGCTACCGTCGGAACGCTGGAGCTCCGGTCCCTCGTCGAACCAGTCCGAAAGATTGTCAGGAGAGTTCGCGGGCACTTCCTCAAGGCAAAGGCTGAAGACGTGGAATTCTCTGAGAAGCTCATCGAGTGCTCAGCTGTAGATGCCAAGGGCCAGGAGCAGAGATTCTATGTGCCCTACGATAAGCTTGTTATCGGCGTCGGATCCGTCACAAACTCGCATGGTGTGAAGGGTCTCGAACACTGCCACTTCCTCAAGGACATCAGCGATGCCAGAATTATCCGTAACCAGGTCGTCAAGAACCTCGAGTACGCGTGCCTACCAACAACATCTGACGAAGAGAGGCGAAGACTTCTATCGTTCGTGGTTTGCGGTGGTGGACCTACTGGCGTAGAGTTCGCGGCCGAGCTGTTCGACATGCTGAACGAGGATCTCTGCAAGCTCTACCCTAAGCTTCTACGCAACGAAATCTCCGTCCACGTTATTCAGTCCCGAAGTCACATCCTGAACACCTACGAAGAGGCCCTATCTCAGTACGCTGAGCAACGTTTCGCCCATGACTCGGTCGACATCCTCACAAACTCGCGCGTCAAAGAAGTACAATCGGACAAGATTCTCTTCTCGCAAAAGGACGAAAACGGCAAAGTGGTTACCAAGGAGATCCCTATGGGTTTCTGCCTATGGTCAACTGGTGTTGCGCAGACTGATCTCTGCAAGCGTCTCGCTGCCAAACTGGACGGACAGAACAACAAACACGCTCTGGAAACCGACACACATCTTCGTTTGAACGGATCACCTCTCGGTGACGTTTACGCTATTGGTGACTGCGCAACAGTCCAGAACAACGTCTCTGATCACATCGTGAACTTCCTACGCACGACTGCCTGGGAAAAGGGTAAGGACCCCGAGAAGCTGCAGATCTCGTACTCGGACTGGCGCGGCATCGCCAAACGCGTCAAGCAACGCTTCCCACAAGCAGCGAACCATCTTCGTCGCCTAGACAAGCTGTTCGAGCAGTACGACAAGGACAAGTCTGGCACTCTGGACTTTGGCGAGCTTAGAGAGCTGCTCTTCCAGATCGACTCGAAGCTCACATCCCTACCCGCCACCGCCCAGCGCGCTAACCAGCAGGGTGAATACCTCGGTCGCAAGTTCAACAAGATCGCCCAAGCAGCTCCCGGCATGGCACTCAATAACGTTGACTACGGTGACCTGGACGATGCGGTGTACAAGGCTTTCGAATACAAGCATCTGGGTAGTTTGGCATACATCGGTAACGCAGCTATCTTCGACTACAACGGCTACGGCTTGAGCGGGGGTCTGCTGGCCGTCTACCTGTGGAGAGGCGTCTACTTTGCACAGAGCGTCAGCCTCAGGACAAGGTGTTTACTCGCCATGGACTGGACCAAGAGGGCGCTGTTCGGACGAGGTATGTTATTCCTTCCTTGGTAGTGTATGATTGTGCCTCAGCTAACATGGAATAGATTTGATGAACTTCTAAGCGATACATGGTTTGCCTTTTGCGAAGCGTAGATCGATAGACCGATGGCTGTTTTCGGTACCTCTCATCTTCCTATGTAGATTATTCCTTGTTTGATCTATTGAGGGTGGCTTGATGCTGGACCTTTTACCAATATATTTTACCTTGTTCAATTGTATACATGTAAGCGTTGGTGAAACTTTTGTGTTTGCTGTACCAAGTGTATAGCTGAGTTGTTGCAGTGGCGTAGCTGTTTGTAACTCGACACACCGCTCTCTTCTCATGGTTACATTCACATCAACCCAAAGTTAATATAGTTGTCCAATATGTGCTGAGCTGGGTAGACGGTCTAAATCCAATGATGACGATGTACGGGCACAGAAAGTAAGCCGGGTCATGCCATGGGAAGAACAGGCATACAAAGTAAGCCGGATCACACCATAGAAATATCCGCGTCTCCCCAACTTCTCAACTGAGTTTTGTCTTCGCGGTAGTTGAGCTGAGGTTTCTGCGCTTCCACCGCAATCGATGGACTTCGAGATACCCCGAGTTGTTGTGCAACGCTCGCTGTCTTGGTGTAGGTGATGCGGGTGGACGACCTCACGCCATTCATCAGCATGCGACTAGTGTATACGGAATGCACCGTCTTTGATACAGGCGGTGTTGCTTCGGGGATGTGTACTCGTGCAGGTACGGTTCAGAGGTAAGTAGGGGAAGAGCAAGCAAATCGATGAGGATGTATAAGTATCCCCCCTTTCTACCCATCTCTAGAAGCAAAGCAGACAGCATATCCAACGACCAAACTTCCAAGATCAACATCCACCGCTTTGTTCAGAACTTCATCTAAATCCCTCTCAAGCAAATATGCCTGCTACCACGTCATCCATGCTCTCCACTCTCCTCCTCGCCATCCCCCTGCTCTTCCCCTCGACCACCGCCGGCGCCGCAATTATCAAGAAAGATGTGTCCTCCGCATTGGTAATGGCTTCCGAGGCCGCCCTCGTAGACGCAGCCGTCACCTTCACCCTGTTCTCCAGCGATGCCGAATGCCGGGCCAACCAGGGCACCCGATACGCCAATCCCGATGGAGGCTGTTACTCATTGCCCCAGAACTCCATGGATGTCAATGCTATAGCTGATGGCTGCCGTGGTATGTATTTCGGTTTCGTCATGGGCTAGATACAAGGCGATGAGAGCTGATTTGTTATGTTCAATGCAGTCTTCATCTACGAATCCGGGAGCTGCGACGGTCGCGAACAGCAGGTTTACGCCGGAAACGTCTGTGTGAATATTGCCAGCTTCAGAACTATCAAGGTGTTCTGCGGTTGAGCGAAAACCGGCTTCAAAAGAGTTGTTGAGGCTGTCTTCTCAGAATCTTGAGGGAGCAAGGTGGGAGGGAGGATCGGTTCTGTGCTGTTGTTTCCTTGATCACTGCATTCAACATGCGAGTCTTGTTTTTGTACCAGGAAAAAGACCAGTGTGGGTAGCTTGACCAATAAAGCTATGCCGCGCTGATGAACAAACCCTCAACAAGTCATGTTGCCGTGACAGCGAAGTGTGCCCTTAGTGTATTCGAAGCGTGCATGAATCGGCCGCCCCACAGTGTTGCCTTCAAGGCTCTTGCTCATCCATCGCTTCAAGTCGCGTGCGGACCATATTAGGATTCGAGTGTCCTTGCTCGTCGGTCCAGCATCGTAACACTTCCTCGCGCATGATCCTGCGTGGAGCTCTTTTTCCTGTGAAAAGTTCGAATTGCGCAAAACCTTGTTCAGGTAACAGATCAAGGCCGTCCAGGCAGATCCATGATGCTGACGCTTCTTCGCGAACTTGTTTCGTCAGTGGCGTATTGAGAGTTCGGTAAGCAAGTTCTATCACTACACCTCCCGAAGGAGATTGCATCCATTGAGTGGGCAGCGTGAAGTCAGGCGATGGTTCGTCACCTACAGCATGCGTGGGTATACATGATACGATGACTGTCGGTGCGCGGAGATCTTTTGGCCAGGGATCGTCCCGCGACTCAAGTATGCGAAAGGTGGGTTGAGATCCCTGGACGAACGATGGGAAGAGTTTGGCTGCCGATGGGCTTGCAGCTAGTGCAGAGAAGTAGCTGACTAGATTTTGTGCGTTCTTGATTGTTCGGTTGAAGATTACGATATTCTTGATGCCAAGCTGGAGCATGGCATAGATTGCCGCCCTAGCCATACCTCCTGACCCGATCACGAGGCTGGAGGTGGTCGTTGGACGAACAGCATTGGCAGGAGACAGGCCTCTCCGTATGCAAGATCGAATGCCAATCCAGTCTGTGTTGTCACCAAACAATGCTTTGACAGGCCCTGACTGGTTGCGTTCTTGATATAACTCAACGCCATCCGCATCGGGTATACTGCCATCTTCATTGAGATGGCGAATTGGAAGAAGCGTGTTGATTGCTCCAATCGCTCGAGCATGGCGACTTACCGAGTGAGTAAGAGCAATGGCATCCACCTTGAATGGCTGGCTGACTGCAGTGCCGCCGAAGTTCGGTCTTCGCAACAACTCTCGTATATTTTCGTCCAATGTCGCAGTTTGAAGGCGGTCAAAGTGGTGAGGCATACCACACGCTCGATATGCCGCATTGTGCATAGCAGGGCTGAGGCTGTAACCCGCTGCGGCACCGATAATGTAAAACTCCATCGGGTCATATGTGAACGATGCGTACAGAATATGTGTAGCTTCTGTTACAGTAAGCCACGACGTTTCCGGATTTCCCTGCGCTCTGGTCTCGAAATCTGCGCCCTTTCGTAGCTTTTCTGGTATCACAGGAGTCAGAACCTGGTTGAAGCAAGCGGAGCGACGACCAGCGCGGCCGGTATTGTAGCATATCATGGGTATTCTCTGTGACTTGGCGTATATGGTGTTGCGAAATGATTGGATGGCGGCGTTATCGTCCATGAAGTTGGCTGGCCGGGTAAAGCGTACAAGGCTGCAGCCCAAGCGCATTGCTGTATCGTATTTCTCAAGCCAGAATACATCGTACCAATCCATGGCTGCGTGAAGATGGCCGATTATCTTGGTTGAGCCCCTCGACGCAACGATTGCTCGGATCAGCTCCTCGTCCATGGTAAGATCCACAGTGGCGAACTCAGGTGCCATTCGTAGACCGTACCACAAGTTTGCCAGGTAGGACGTTGTGGAATGGCCTGAATGTGCCGACGGCGGCATCGTGTGAAAGATTATCGGGGTCACGGTACTCCGCCGCACTCTAAATATACTCTTGCTTATGTTCTCCGCGTGATCTGCTGTAAGCTGTGCAGGTTCAACAACTATCTCGAATGCGTCGCAGCCAAACTCTAGTTCTTCAATATCGACTTCCTCAGGCGTAAGATCTGATAGTTGTACCTGAACGGCGCACGTGTAGTTCCTCAGCTCCAGATCGACATACGATAACGGAAAGTGGCCAGGGTCTAGCGTGGGCGCGTCACTCTTGATCTTCCTTCGCGTATTCGTTGGAGACAGAATCAGTGCCAAAAACTTGAAGAAAGTTCTTTCTGCACGCTTCAACGTCAGGAATGCCGGGACAGAGGGCTGGTGCGCAGGCGCAACCGATAGGTGAGCTGCATTCGTTTCGGATATGTTGTAGAACTCGTAGTTTGAGCATCGCCTGAAAACCGGAGTACTGAGGGCAAGCAATTCCCGGACCTTGGATTCATCCGTGTCTAGATATTCGCGTACACTGCGCACATCCCGTGTAATGTGTATCACTGGGTGTGATGCCGAAAATTCATGCAGTAGAGCTTGGCTACTGCTATCCAGGGGAAATCCTCCGTTGCAAACGATGATGGCGCCTCTGCTGTGGTTTTGCAATGTGTCGCGTAGGATCTCTTCCTGTCGAAGGCTGCGATTCGATGATCCGAACTGTTTGCGATACGTAGCGGTCGAGAAGCCTGTTGCAGTGTGGAAGACACTCTCCATATCGATAACCCTTCGCTGGCAGGCTACTGAGGCCATCATTGCCAATGTCGCTTTGCCTGTGCCATGCATGCCAATGAGCACGATAGACGCCCGGGAGTCAAACATTCTCCGGCATTCGTACTGTGTAGGTGCTGGTGTTGACCTTGCCGAATTCGGTAGACTTCGCTGTTTGGACGCAGGCGGCGATGGTGTTGGCAGCGAAGCTCGCCCGTCCATCGCTCCGGTTTCCGTGTTCATTGCAGCAAATGAACGCTTCGCACCAACCGTCATGGAAGCCATTGTTTACGGAACTTGCAATTTGGAAAATGTAGTTCCCTAAAATCAACATCATGAAGCAGAACATGCCGCTGCAGTTGGCAGCGACGAGTGCCTTAGCGAAACACGTGATAGCAGTGAGCCCCGCTTTTCCTCGGGGATAAATCTTTATCCTGGTGCGCAGACGCTCCCCCGGCTTTCTCCAGTGCCTCACTAGGCAAGCTCGATGGCTTCTTTAGCAAGATGCTCGACCACCCCATATCCGGGTGATCACCAATCTGCTCTTTTGGCAAGGCTCTATGAGGCGCGTCCGTGTTCTTTGTGCGACGGCGAACGACCGCTGCCGAACCCATGTCTTTGCAAACCCAGGAGAAACGCCGCCAGGCCACACAAGACATACCGGTAAAACGGTTTCGGGTATCAAGAGCTTGCGATCAGTGTCGCAATGCCCGCGAGAAATGTGACGCGAACCAGCCCAGCTGCTCTCCCTGTCTGGATGCCAAGCGCACGTGTACATACACGTCAAACCCGAAGAAGCGAGGGCTCCAGCCCGGCTACATACGCAGTCTTGAAATGACACTGGCCTTCATTTTCCAACAGCACGCTGAGATTGAGACTTCAGTACACGAGCAACTGGCCCAGGAAAATACAGTCTTGCTAGCGAGGGGTACTAAGGACTCGAATCGTTTGCACAAGAGCTGGACCAAGAGCAGATTTTGTCGAGATGTGACCAGAGCATTATCTGGAGAGCAGATAGGAGCAAGCGAGGACAGGCCGCCAAGCTCAGACGAAGACAGTGAGGTAGATACTGAAGATGCCACGCTTCTCCAGATGACACCAAAATCTCAGTCTCAGCATTCGGTACTAGCCCTATGTGACGATCTTGAGGAGTGCTGACTTATGCAGATATCATGGCAAAGTGGCACGAACTACGTGCCACAGGCTATGCGCCCACCTCCATTACCGGACCTTCATTCTCCGCGTCTGCAACAATCTACAGGCTCTTCTCCCCTTACCCCCCTGCCTACGGACTGCTGGAGGTTGATCGAGATATATTGCACGTATACACAATGCTGGCTTCCCATCGCGGATAAGCTTGAGATTCTCAAGCTATCGTATTCTTATGCGGAACAAGGTTTGGCTCTGTCAAGCGACATGTCCAACTCGGGAATTTATGCAGAGATGTGGAGTGTATTTGCAGTCGGCTCTACGCATGATGACGCGAGTCTCGCAGGAGATAATTATCACCCATGGCCGTCCGGAAGACTTTACGACATCGCGAGGCAACTTATCCCCAATGAGCTAGGCAAATTCGAACTAGGTCACGTAAAGGCCCTTCTCAACCTAGCATTGTTCAACATCCATGGGAAATTATTCGATGCTGCTTGGCATCTTGTCGGCGGTGCTTTACGAATAGCCCTCATGCTTGCAGAATCACCAGATGCTGTTACACTTCGGCTAAAGCATGTCATCTCGAGTTGTTTTGTGCTTGACAGTCTTTTGGCCTTACATCTCAAGCGGCGCCCATACCTCGACAGGGCCGATCTTTCGTGGATGGGCAAGATAGAAGAAGATGGCATGGAAGAATGGCAGCCGTGGAGTGGGCATCTCAATCTTGGTCCATCACGCCTGTCAAACTCTCCGACACTCGCTTTAAGTACTTTCAACGCTTTCATGGAATTGGTTGACATTCTCCGATGTACGTCCATGGAGCGGACAGCGCCAAACTTTCTACATGAGATGATTGGCCGACTTGAGATGTGGAAGTCAGCGTTACCACCGAAACTCGATTACATTCGGAAAGATCCACCTTTTACACCACCAACCCCACCTGCATTGCTTCTCCGCTTCACTTACCTCGTCACTGCGTTTACTCTCGTCCCATCTCAGGCGTGGCTTCAGCAGATCTTGGACATGTTAAACGTCCTACAACAGCAGCTTGGGGTCACAAGAATGCCGGCAGTCATCACCTGCTTATTGCAAAGTATCAAGAGAAACACTAGTAGTCTGACTCTGGATCAGCAGACACATACTCGAATTCACGAGTTATTTGCTGCTCTTGGCCAATCATCACAAGAGACTTCGGAAAGAGCATCATCGGATTTGCGATCAATATCGGCTACTTTGAGAGACGCGTCTTCAGAAGATTCTGGAACCGTTCAGACCTCGCCGCAGTCTCTCGTTTCACAACATAGCGGTCCGTTCACCAATCGGTACCAGCAACCGCCCAACCAGTCTACTATGGTCCATCCAGATATGAACGTTAGCCATGCAGGTCACAGTTTGCAACCATTCGAACCCAATCTATTCGATTTCGGAATGGCTGGCCCGATGTTCGACCCCCACGATCCTTATAATGCTTTAGTCTCGGGTGATTTGGGAAGTTTCCTTGACGACTTCGCTTCAAAGCATGGTGCCAAGAAACTACAAAACCAACCGCAGTTTATGGAGAACCTCGGATTTTCATCGGAAGTAAGCATGGCCGATCTATTGGCGGCTGATGCTGGCCGTTTCATGCCTACTGCATCGAACCTAGGCGTAGATAACAGCGAAGAGTCTCCTCAATTCCCGCTCAACACTTTCTACGATGCTGGGTGAGCCCGACTGCAGGCTTTTAAGCTCAAAAAGTAAGCAATATCTAGCTATCCAAGAAGTCCATAGTAGCAGAGTCAAGACATATGCCTTCATCATTATGGGCGTGGCTTGAAGGAACGATGCTTGATTAATGGGTATCTTCTACATATAGACTGTCAAACGATAAGAAGCACAGGAAATCGAACAAGGAAACCACATCAGCTTCCAGCTCATAGCCGCGCATATTCGGCTTCCTTCACGAACTGTCCTACATTGCTTACTTCGTTTCGCGGTCTCTCCATAGACGCCAATGTATCATACACCGCACCCGTACCAAGCTGTAAATCACGGCACATGGCATGCCACGCGGCCGCAGCGCGCTGTGCCAGTTCCTCAACGACCCCCTTATCCTCTCTGTTCATGACTCGATTGAACAACTCCATGCTGACCCAGCCCTCAAATCCAATATCCTTGATGATGGCACGTGTGACATCTTTTACGGGCAAGTACGCTCCACGACTAGTCTCGCCATAAAACAGCCTGCAATTTCTGCTCCAAGACATGCGGGCTGGCTGTTCGGCGTTGTAGAAGGGATGGCCAGGAAGCAACGGTCGTGCGAGACGCTCGGCGTCGACGATCTGAATGAAGAATATCTTCTCTTTGCGAGGCTTGATCTGTGCAACCAGTCGTTGTATCGATTCGCGAACTGCCTGATCAGCTCCAACAACCTTTCCAGATTCAGCGGTAGGGTCCGCATATATCCTGCCCAAGATGTTGAAGCTGTCCAGGCAGATGCCAAAGTTCGGTCGATCGACCCGTTGCACGATATCCCAGCACACTTCCCATTTGTCAACGTGTGTTCCCCAGCTTAGGCTTTCGTATGCGAAACGGATGATTGGGGTTTGATGCAGCCCAAGGTCTGCAATCTCTTGAAGGTCATTGACGATGAGGTCCGTATCGGAGGATGTCTGGCTGGGTGGTAGGAATGATGAAGGGACTTGGACTATGTCTGTTCGAAGGACATGCGCAAGTTGCATCCAAAGCTTCATCTCCTCGATTCGCTCAGCGTGTCGCTTCCTGTCCAAGAGACCCTCGTAGTGCATGAATGGCTGCAGACATATGATCTCCAGGCCCAGGGACGAGCAAAGTCCGTAGACTGAGGCGGCACCTGCGAGTAGGTCGGATGGCTTGTCGGACCCGGCGTGATCGACTAGGTCCTCGTAGAAGAGCTCGATGCCCTCTAGTCCATGTTTCGCCGCCATGGAGAGTTTGTGTTCGAGGCTGTGCCCAGCGTAGCATCGGCCTAGCGACATGGAGGAGATACCTGGGCGGCACGGCATGATGTGATACTGATGGAAGATGGAAATAGAGGTGTATGTGACGAACAGTATGGTATTGTGAAGGTGGAACTATAGTGTGAATACTGAGAGACTAACAGCCGTACTTGTCAAGCTGATAAGACATCTATAAGCAGCTGGCGTACATGCAAGGCCGTTCATAACCCACCGATATCCTGATCAACGCATGCTGCACGACCGTTACCTACCATGCACATACGCATTGAACCTTCCTCGTCCAATCACGCTCGATGAGCACTTGTCGCTCGCCATCCCGGAGTAATGTTGGAAAATGTAACACACTCCTTACGCAACCGTGATGTGCCGTGTCAAGCAGCAGGCAAGCCCAGCCTGGTGACATCTTGGTGGTGCAGATGGAGGTTCGGCGCTAGCCGCGCGGAAAAGAGCTCACACCCGGGCCCAGGTGCATCGCGCCACTTCGGTCATCGGTTCCCGATCGAAAAATGGGCCGTATTGCTCTTGCATCCCCAGGCCAAGGCGCGCTATGGCAGAACACCTGAGCATCACAATCCTTTTCGTGGTTTTCTAGGCAATACAATGGCTACAGACTGTCATAATCTACAGCTTTGTGTACACGACAGCTAGATGTCAATGCTGCATAAGGCTGTGCAAGCGCAGCGGGCAGTTTTGGACGCCGGTGGTTTTTGGCGCATATGTGATCGGCTGGTTGACGTCTGTACAACCACTCTTTCGATAAGAAAGATCCGACGCGTCCAGTAACCCGGGCGCGCGAAACTGTCCGGCTGTACAATTTCAGCACCTGCAGTAACACATCCACAAGGGCGGGCCCGAAAGCAGAGTCCGCAACGACTTGACAGCCAAGCTAGGAGCGCTTACTCTTCTACGCGAACGCAGCCGCGTGCTCAGGGTCGAAGGCACGTGGAGAGAGCGTTCTTCCCGCCGGTAATGATTAGCGGTTTCGAGCCGATATAGCCGACACGTGTGAAGGCGTTGATTCTCATGTTGCGGAAGGCCGAACCGTCCTCTGTGATGTAGGGGCCATGACGTCATTGGGATCGCTGGTTGGACTCGCGGTTCGCGATCATGTCGCCCCGGGCCATCTCGAGAAGTATTCTGGTGGCCTTAGTGATGAGTCTAACTCGGCTGCACTGGAAACTCGCCAACACGCTCGCCCTTGATCAAGTGCTTGAACTCAAGTGCGCATGCAGGCAATCGTGGATCGCTATTGTAACCGTCTTCTGTTCCTGATTTGTCCTCAACAGTGCATATCTCTGATGATCTAGTCATGAACGCGGATATCGAAGGCCTCTCAGGTGATGCTCATTGATCATGATGTATTCATTTGCACGCGACTACGAGTATGCGGGACTACCAAACGCTCAAGCCATCTCAGTATGCTCATCTGCCCTTGCTTTCTCATCCCTAATCGTCAAGTTCACTTCCTCGTTCTCCTTCATCCTGTCCACGAGGATACCATGTGCCTTGAAAGCGGGCTTGATGGTAAAGAGCTCGTCCATGCGCTCAAGCGGGACGCCCTTTGTCTCGGGTATCAAGAAGAACACAAAGGGTATAGAGAGCAGCATGAGGCATGCGAAGAACATGTATACTCCGTATCCCATGGAGGCAAACATCTGGGGTGTAAATCGAGAGATGATGAAGTTCCAGAACCAGTTGTTTGCCGCAGCGAATGCCTGACCCAAGGAGCGCGTCTGCTGGCTGTACATCTCGGAGTTGATGACCCATGGGGTACCGTTCCACGAAGGAGTGTAAAAGGCGGTCCAGAGGTAGAAGAAGAAGACTGCGCTGATACCGCCGGAGGAGAGTTCGCCTGAAGCGTTCTTGTTGTTCGTTGGATCGGCGATCTTGATGTAGGCAGCGATGTACCACATGCACAGAGATCCACCTGTTTAAGTAATTAGTCTATGTTTCGTGTCCTGTTGGTAGAATGAAGACTTACCCAGAGCGCCGAACATAAGAAGCTTAGTGCGGCCGAGGCGATCGATGAGCCAGATAAGCCAGACAAAAGTCAGAACACACTTGACGACACCGAAGATGCCAGTGGTGAGGAAGCCTTCTGTAACACCAAGACTCTTGAAGACAGTCGGAGAGTAGTAGTTGATTGCGTTGATACCTTTAAAATGTCAGTCTTTGTCTCATGCAGGTTGTACATTGACATGCTCACCGGATCCGTTCTGCCAGAGGAAAAGCATGCCACCGAGGAAGATACGGTATTGCACCTTGCGTTGTTTAAGCGCAAGGAACGGCTTCCAGAATCCAGGTCCGACAGTGATTCTGTCATGTTCGACCTGAGCATCTATGGCATCGAGCTCCTCCATAATATATGTGTGGTCTTGGGGAAGGTTACGGATCCAGCATAGATCCTTCAGTGCTTGTTCGCGTTTTCCCTTGGTCAGGCACCATCGAGGTGATTCCGGCATCCAGAAGGCGCCAAGCAAGAGGCAGCCGGCAGGAATGAGTTGCACAGCGAATGGAATGATCCACTGCTTGTGAGAAGGCTCCATCGTCTCCTGAAGACCGTAGTTGATCCAGCTATGAGTGTGTTAGTACGTGTTACTCTCGAACGGAATCCAGGTTGCATGACTTACAATCCAACGAGACCTCCCATTTGCCAACCGAGCTCGTAGATACCGACCAAACGTCCGCGCACAGCTGGTGGAGATAATTCGGAGATGTAGATAGGAACCATGTTGCTGCATCCACCAACTCCCAGACCTGCTAGTACACGGCCACCAATGATCAAACCGAGGCCTCGGTCGCCATTGGCACCCAGCATCATGCCAGCACCCAAAATGAACTGGGTATGTCAGTATTTGCTCCAATATATCTGTAAAGTACTCGGGTGACTCACAATGAGAACCCAGAGAATGAGCGACTTCCTCCTGCCAATGTAATGACTGGACGCATACGCTCCAAAAGCTCCGAAGAATGCACCAGCTTGGTACACCGAGACGATGTTGGCCTTCGTTAGGTTCAAGTCGGCGGGGTCCATCTCCGCGAAACGAAATTCCTCAACGAAGGACGGCAGGGCCAAAGTCGTGCCAATGAAGGCACTGTCGTAGCCGATCATGCATGCTGCCCATGATGCAATGCATGCTGCTGTGTAGACTCTCCAGTTGTAAACCGCCTTTGGTGTCGGTCGATCTTCGACGACGGTAAGGATACCCATGTTGGTGTGGTAATTCGATGTGCCTTGAGGAATCCAAAGTTGATGGACTCAGATGGCACCGATGAAGGTTGCTAGCCAGACAGGTAGGCGTAGCTTGGGCGAGATGAGGAGTACTTCAATGGACGAAGATCGGCCTACACCTATATATCCCGACCGAGAGGAACCCGGCAACGTGCTGTTTTGCGGAGTATGTGGAGAAAACGCCACAAACCCCATGGAGATGAGCTATGAAGGTGTCAGGCAGTTGCGCATGTGCTCATTGGCCGTCCAGTTCGCAGAAAGGTTGATGCTGAGCTTGGCCCGGAAGAATCGCTAAGCACCCCCAGGAAGAATTGAACATTGTGCGATTGCGGAGAGGAACCATGCTCTCGCCGACCCCAGACCGTTCCTAGGGACCTGGATTTTCGCGCCGGTCATGCCTAGTTGGGAAGTGAAGGAATTACCCACAGGGTTGGTGATGCTGCAGGGCCCGGAAGCGCATTTACACGCGAGGTTTAGTGGCCGGGGCATCTTCGCTGATTGGAAGAGGGACGCAGCTGTCAGTCGCACACCGGACCGTCGCATAGCCTGCACGCGCTTGACTCGCGTCTCCTCCACGCGCGACATGACTTTTTCCGGTCCCCAACGCGTTGAGTCTGGGGTATTGGCGCATGCGTTGGACGTAATCATGGAGCGCTCGACTTCTACCCCGAATACCCGCTCTCTGAGGATTCAATATCTGGAAGAGCATCAAGCGTCACCAGAACGGCAAACCTCCCCAAACTTCATCCTCGTCTCCTAAGCACACGACATTCACATCCCACCATGTCTACCGAAACCAGCATACCAGAAGTCTCGCAAACCGAGCGCCATGGCTACCTCTTCGGCCACCCAATCGCCCACTCGATGTCGCCTCTACTACACAAGACCGTGTACGACAACCTTGGATTGAACTGGGCACAATACCCTTTGGAGTCAAGAGACATGAATCTGTTCCTGCAATTAATCAAGCATCCTCAGTTCTACGGTATGCGCAACACATCAAGCAATGATACTGACAAAGATGACTAACAAAAGTGCAGGCGCTTCGGTCACAATGCCCCACAAGGTCGCCATACTAAAACACCTGGACGGCCTCACGGAAGAGGGAAGGGACGTAGGCGCAGTCAACACACTCTTCATCCAACAAGATGCTTCAGGGAACCGGTTATACATGGGCACCAATACCGACGTCATAGGGATAAGAGATGCTTTCGCATACAACGTGGATCCAGCGAAGTTTGAGAACAGACCTGCGTTAGTGATCGGTGGAGGCGGCGCAGCGAGGAGCGCCGTGTATGCGCTGAGGAAGTGGATGAAGTCCAGCGCCATATATCTTGTGAGTAACCAGACGAAATCATTCTTCATAGATGGAGGATCGTGCTAACAATACCATTCTAGGTCAACAGAGATCCCACAGAAGTCGCAGCCGTAATCGAAGAGTGCACAGCCCGCGGCTACGGCGACTCCCTCGTCCACGTCTCCTCCGTCTCACAAGCACAAAGCCTCGAAGGTGTCGGTGCGATTGTAGCCTGCGTACCAAACTTCACACCCGTCACACCCGCCGAGATCGAGGCGCGACAAGTACTCGAATGCTTCCTCGCGAAGTCGCATAAGGGAGCTTTGTTGGAGATGTGCTACCACCCTACGACATGGACGGAGATTGCGGAGGTAGGAAAACAGAACGATTGGCAGATCGTGCTAGGGACAGAGGCATTGATATATCAGGGTCTGGAACAAGACCGGTATTGGACAGGGAAAGCGGTGGCGGATCTACCGGTGGTGCAAGTGCAGGAGGCGATCGCCAGGAAGTTGAACGAAGCAAGACTGTAGATATTAATGGAATTGGACATATACACACGGCATGCGAGGTGCGAGTGAATATGCAAGTCATGAGTTAACTTGAAAAAGGTAGAATTGCAAGTCGCTAAGCTCCGGGCCGCGTGTAGTCTAGGTTGCGTACCCGCCGCCATACCTCGCGGACTGTCCTCTCTTGACTCTGTCGACCTGTCTCCATAGGTGATGGTCCTGCTGGTCTGTAACGAAACATTAGCATATGCCTCGCTCTGGTTTGCTGTAATACCGACTTACCTGATCGCCAAATATAACCGGCTTCCCAGCCTCACTTCCTCTATAGGCGCGCCAGCCCAGTCCTCCGGTGGATTCGCTGTAGTCACTAAACCTCCAGCTTCTTGTAATATAGCAATGCCAGCCGCGACATCCCATTCCCAGCAACCTCCTTCCCACCAGATATCAAACGAACCCATAGCAACATATGCCAAATCGAGCGTCGCACTTCCTAAACTTCTGACCCCATGTACCATTCCTCCTCTTCCCTGCCTCCCCCCAATCTCAGCTGCCATATTAACAAAACTTTCAATCTTGCGATGCATATTGCCATCAGGCGTATCCCGTCTATCTTTACCCCATTCACACGAAAAGACACACCCGCTAGGCGCTTTCTCCGGCATAGGTGGTATGGGGTTACGAACTAGTGGGAGACGTTGCGTTTCGTTGAAGAAGGCGCCGCGACCAGCGCAGGAAGAGAAGAATTGGTTCGTAAAAGGCGCGTATATGACGCCAATGAGCGGTTTGGACTTGTAGATGAACCCGATGCTGACACAGAACATGGGGAAGAGGTGGATGTAGTTTACGGTTCCGTCGAGCGGGTCGACACACCATGTTTGAGCGTTGTCGATTAGGTAGTCGCGGGATGAGCCTTTGCTGTAGGATTCTTCGCCGACGAATCTACTGGATGTTAACGTGTGCAGCTCGGTGGGTTTAGAGCCAGTGGCATACTTGTGTTGAGGGTACTTGTCAGCTATCGCCTTCTTGATGAATGCTTCAACATCTTCGTCCGTCTCCGTAACTAGGTCGACAGCATTCTCCTTCTGGACGTGTTCATCCTGTCCTGTCGCATTCCCACCCTCTATCCGCAGTTGCGCAGCATCCATGAGCATCTTGCCCGCCTGTCGTCCCAGCTTCACGGCGAACGCATAGATCTCATCTAGCTCTTCTCTTGATAATTCCATCATATTGATCGCGGGTATTGTGTACATGTTAGGTAGATGTTTGGCTAGGAAGAAACGCCATGGCGACCGACACGCGCCAGAACAGATCGCGTCCCAAAAGTCCCGTCTGAAGCCGTGCCGGTTAAAGACGGAAAGCGACCTGATAGCTGTATGTAGGGGAGTGGGACGTCATGCTCGCAACTCAGGGCAAGAAGGCCGATCGTTAGGGGTGGGGGTAAGGACTTTTCCCCTTCCTTGCGTTCCGACGACCATCGGAATCTCGGAATGAAGTATGTCAAGGCGGGCCCACCCACGCGACGCGACAGACACACTACCTAGGTATCTCGTCGCGGCCATATACTCCTGATATCACCACACTCTTACAAAGTCCGTGACCGGGATCATCAAGCCTCTTCGTGCCAACAATACACGTTCGTAGGACATACCACCTACTCAACAGCTGAAAATGCCCAAATCCATCCTCCTAATAAACGGCCCAAACCTCAACCTCCTCGGCACACGCGAACCCACAATCTACGGCTCCACATCCCTCTCCGACGTAATCAGCTCCGCACACAAACAATGCACCGCGCACTCCACAAACTTCGCTCACATCCAATCGAACCACGAAGGCGTCCTTGTCGATCGCATACATGAGGCACGCGGCAATGTCGACTTCATCGTCATAAATCCAGGCGCTTTCACGCATACGAGCGTGGCGTTACGAGATGCGTTGGCGGGTGTGGAGATACCGTTTGTTGAGATACATATCAGTAATGTGCATAGGAGGGAGGCGTTTAGACATCATAGTTATCTGAGTGATAAGGCGGAGGCGGTTATTTGTGGATTGGGTGTTTTTGGGTATGAGGCTGCTATTGAGTTTGCGGTGAGGTTTCTTCGGGAGAAAGAGGAGAAGAAAGCAAAGCTGTGAATAATGATGTTTCAATATCCCACGATTGAGCAACGATTCCACCTTGAGACCAGTCTTTAGAAAGAACTTCGCTTAGTTGCCGTGTCACAGATTCAGTCGTGCGTTCTAGTAAAGCCCTTCTTGATATCCTGTCGCGCCTCGAGGTACGTTTGCAGAGCTGTTATAGCCGGTAGCAGCAGCATGACAACGCTCAACGTCTGGCCGAACCCCCAGACATTCTCCTCCTCATCTTGCAGTCCACAGAACTCTTCCGGGTTCTCTGGCAATGCAAATTTCTGCGTAAGGACCAAGATGGCGGACAGTATAGCGAGGAGAATCTGAACAACAAACGTGATTGCTGGGTTGAGGAAGAGGTAGTATATGCATTGGAGGCCGAGCCGCGCTGGGGAAAGCGCTCGAAGCGAGAAGCCCTTCTGCTTTTGTGTCGGGTCTGTAAATCGACGTACTAGGGCTTGTAGTGACCTCTCCGAAGACGACGATGACGGCGATTCCAATCCTCTTCCTTCTGGGTCGTACAGAATGCACACCAATGCCGTTGAGAAGCCGACGAGAATGAGGAATAAAGGGACAAGGAATGAAAGCCTCTGTACACGACTTCGTACCATAGATGTGCCATCGTCGCCTTCGACGAGGATCGGCGGCATGGCAATCGCAGCAATCATTGAGGTGAGTAGGAAAACAGCGAAGAATACGACAAGTGTGAGGCGGATTTTCGCAATGAGCTTGTACTTGCGGAAGTATTTGCGGAGCGTTATCAGAGCGGCGAGGTGAGAGGAGGAGGATAGCGCACACACGTAGAGGATAAGAACGAAGTGGGAACCTTGCACTCGGAAAGAGCCTTGAGCCACCTGATTGTGTTCTGTCAGCATGGGACATCTCGATGGGAAACCGAGCGTACTTTGATCCATCCGCTCAAGAGCACAGCGTAGCCCGTGATGAGTTGTTGATCGCCGAACCCGATAATCAGCGGGTCAAGAAATGGACGCCACGCGTAGTGCTTCTTCCACTCGTTTTCCAGGAAGCGCTCACGGATGTATGTAAGCGGCGCTCGGGGCGTGAAGTGACCTTTCGTATCGAAGGCTTGATCGAGAAGCATAGCGAGGATGGACGCGAACGTGGTCATGAAGCTTGCAATGACGAAAGACAAGACGACCTGTAGTGTTGTCAGCTTGAGCCTAGAAAAAATGATTTGGAGTACTTACACCGACGCCGGCAATGTCTGGCTCTGCTCCATTGGCACAATCTCCATCCCAGGTCGCAATACTATCGAATGTGACCCATGGAGGTGCCATACACTGACCGGAAGTTTACAGCTGGGCTTGCAGTGACTTGAGAGCCGCGACCGCAATGGTATAAGGTTGTGTGAATTGCCCAAACAGGGCATTGCGAGACGCCTTCAAAAATGCTAGTGATAAATGTATGCGAAGATGGGAGGGCGTTAGGTAGGTGAGGAAAAGGCGTTGAGAGTGTGAGAGAGGCGTCGATGTAGTCGAGGTGGACTGGGCTCACTAGTTTGCCGGCTTCGCACGTGTCCATCTTGAGGCAAGCATAGGTGAGGAAGGAGCTATCACCGGAGCTCGCGCTGAACGCAACCTGAGAGACCTTGGAACAACAAGAATCCCCGTATCGAGCGCACATTCTGCGTAGAATGGCTAGTGTAGGCCGTTCGCCGGGTATCACATTCTATCTATAAAATCTACTTCACTTTTGTTTGCTCTTCGCCTTTACACGAGCAGCCAGCTTCTTGATGTCGTCCTCGCCGTCTGCAGCATCCTGCTTAGATTTCTTCGTCTCTCGTTGATGATCTGGCTCGTCTTCGTCCTTGCCTTGCTTTCGCTTCTTGCGGCCCTCTTCTAGCAGCGCCTTCATAGCAGACGTCTCCTTGAACCTTGGGTTTGTGGGATCGATGGCAAACTCATGGCTCTCGTATAGCTTGGCGAAACGGGGATCGGTAGTATCGATTTGGAAGTTGTCCTCTACAATGGGAGCGTTCTTCTTCGCTTTCTTGCCCTTCTTCTTAGCCTTCTCCGACTTGACGATCTCGTTCATGTCGAAGTGACGCAGCTTTGAATCGTCTTCATCTGCCATAAGTAGTTCCAGATTCGCTCGCTCAGCTGCTGCTGCCTGGTCCTTTTCCTCTTGCTCCGCCTTCTTCTTGGCCTTCTCAGACTTCTTCGACTTCGGCTTGGAGGCTTTGGCAGCTTCTTCGGGATCGGAAGCAAAGAAAGGATCGTTGAACGGATCGTCATCGTCCGCAGCCGGTGCCGCTTCCGCCTCCTGCTCCATGGGTGCGTCAGGGTCGCGTCCAGCCTTCTTGGCTTCCCACCTCTCTTTACGTTTCGCCTTCCTTTCCTTCTCCTTTCGAATGTACCTCTCCATTGTAGTCTCTTGCAGTGGGATGTCATTTTCGAATACGTCCCCGTTGCCGGCTCCGCTAGAGAGGCCACCCGTGAAGGTGATCTGCATCTCGCTATCCGGCTTTGGGAAGTCGCGATCCCGTTTCGCAGACGCCTTCTTCTTCATTTTCGAAGATTTGCCTGGTGCTTCCAGACCGAGAGCCGCTCTGAGACTTGCGGCTTTGTCCATCTTTGCTGCTTCTTCCTCGTCCTCGGATGACGACTGGTCTGAGCCCAAGTATGCTTGTAGCTCGTTCTCGTCAATCTCCTTGCGTGAGAAAGCACGCTTTTGTACCTCCTTCCGTGTCGCATCATCGGCATCCCAGGTCAGCTTGACCTTTGAGTGCGTGAGCGCATCCGTAGAGAACTCATTAGGTTTGTAACCGTCCGGCAGCTTTGCGCATTCGTCGTGGGGATCTTGGTCGAAGGTTGTGCCGTCGGGAACGAATCGCAGGTCGAAGAAGTTGGCGCTCGTTAGGTACTCGCGGCCATCGAGGTTGTCGTAGATGGACTTTGCGACGTTCGCGGAAGAGCATGTGATGACGGCATAGTAGTAGCGTAACCGGTCAAGTTGGTAGGCTCGCAACTTGGTGGAGTCGAACTCTTCGCCTGTCTCATCTCCTTGTAAGTCTTCCCCGTTTTGTTCCTCGCCGTCCACCTCAGAAGCGTCTGAGTCGTCGTCGAGCGCGCTGATGTTGTTCTTGTCTTTGTTGGACGTCGAAGCGAAGATCTCACGAGGGGGTCCTTCGATTTCTTCTCGTTGTAGGCGCTCCATACCGAACTCGCTAGGGTATATGACGACGTTGAGAATGCGTCCATCAGCTGGGACGAAGGAGTTTGCTACGGCCATGATGTCGGTGGCCCGTATGTTATCCCAGTCCATGTTCACGGCAGCCAGACGTGCCGAGATGTCGCCCGTCGGGACGTCGTTGTCGTCACCGGCAAGCTCGGTCTGCTCCTCCAGCTCAGCTTCATCCTCTTCGTCGCTCGAGCTTTCATCCGATGAAGACTCTAGTCCACCGTCTCGGATAGGGTCGAAGCCTTGCTGCTCCACCCTCTGCATCTCCTTCTTGACAGCCTTGTCTCGCTTCTTGTCGGCCGGACGTACTAGCTCGGGCTCATCGTCGGCTTCATCTTCGTCTTCGTCGTCTTTGTCGTCGCTATCGGCGTCGTATAACCGGTCAATGGCCTTTTTGCCAGCCTTCTTGTCCACCTTGCGGCCATATTTGTCGACCGTGGCCTTGTTGTAGAAGTCGGGGTCGGTTTTTAATCGCGAGAATCGCGGGTCAAGCTTAGTCTTGGTGTGCTTCTTCGAGGGGAGTCTGAATTTGGGGTCGGTTTCGAAATTTGCGAATCGCGAGTCGTCTAGAGAAAGTTAGCGCAGTGCTCGGCTGTCGCGCGAATCGCAACTTACCCTTAGGCACGCTGGCCTTTGCGCCCTTTACGGGTATCGTCTGTCGCTTAGGGAGAGGCATGGTGGGATGCGCGCGTTGGTGTGAGCGGTGGGCAGTCGCGCGGCGCGGAATTGCAGCTGCGGAACTCGAACTTTTTCTGCCGGGCGGTGGCAGATCGGCGGCGAAGAGCGTGCATTGGATACCGCCGCGGAGGTCATCGCACGCACGGGCAGGGATTCGGCAGCCCGATCTGGGGAAGCTTTAGCTGCGTCACCCTCGAGAGGGGAAATACATCACACGACTGTTCCGGAAGCCTCTCCGCTGTCTCAACAACTTCTCCGCTTTCTGGGGAAAGCTGACATTGTACACCCATTTCAACATTCACGTCTAGCTGAGCATATCCCAGATACACCACCATGTCTCAACTCTCCAGACTTCTCACGTAAGTTGACCGCTGATTGAGAGCTGTCTAGCTTCAGCTTGTACCTAGCGAGCTAGCTGATGCTGACCTAGCTTGCAGTCCTCGCAACATGACTTTGTTCACTCTGGCATCCCTCGGCAGCGGGTACTTTGTCGTCAAGTCAAAGACAATGGCCGACAGGCAGAGAGCCCGAGTCGATGGAGACTACACCGTCACGGTCGACAGGTCAGGTATGATTCGTCAATTACATTGAAATCTTGCTCCCAAACCCACGATCAGCAAATCGTACATTGCGCTGACTACAGGCTATAGGTGGCGGCATCTAAGTGCGTCAGAAACGACTATCAAAAGAGGCGATGCTGTTTCTTCCTTTGCACAAACGGCGTTCACTACATTTGCAGCGTTTTAAGCTCGGCGTCCTTCTTTACCACCTCGAATACCAACAAAGGAAATAATGCGCATTGATACGACACTCATTTCAATGCTTGTGAATTATCAACAAAGCGAAAATAACGAAAATATCCTGCTGTTTTCTGTTCGACGCGTTGTATGCCATCGCAGTGCTTCCATGATGTACCCGCATTTGATACGACTACTGCTATGCTTTTTCCGAGTGCGCGACTCTAACAATGGCATGAGATACGAAGAAGAGGCTTGAAATGCTCCGAAATAAAATCCTATGCGCCGAACATTCGTTTCAAATTCTCTCGTACCCGTCGGGCGACCCGCATCCGTTGGTCATTACGATTGGCCCACTTACCCGATGCTAAATATAACCCACTCAGCCTCAATCGAGAATACCCTAAACACGACAACAGAGATGAAAATAGTATGACGTCCTTTCGTACCTTCGGAGCGCTAAAGATCCGCCATTGAGCATATCCACCTTCGATCTGTCAAATGTTAACGGCTTCCTTGTTGGGCCCACTGCTGGCTCAGCCTTTGCGGAAGTTGTTGTCAGCCGTCTTCCGAATCCAGCCAATGAGGCCACACTCCATCAGCATTGATCATAGGGTTTCTCGAATACGGGATCAGGACAGCCGTCCAGGCTTATGTCACCGCTTTTACTTATAGAAAGACTTTCAATCCGTGCGCCAAGATGGTGGAGCTACGAATAGATATCGTAGGCCCTTTCACCTGACGAGAATCTCACTCAACCACTCCTTAGTTCTCTTTGTGCAGCTTCGTACACCTGCTGACGGTCATCCACTCTCGAATCTACTCGTGCGATCACATATCGATATCTTGCTGATATACTCACCGCTCTTGATCCGAACGCGCAACACAACTGTCAACATGGGTTATCATGATGTCGCTGGGCATGAAAGACTAAAGCCTAGGCAAAAGAAAGAGATGCAAGCACCATGTCAATCAAATATGTTGGCGGCAGCAAGTCATGTCCGTCGACTATTTGAAAGCAAGAAGTTCACTTATGCTGTCATGGGTGAGCTTGCTTTACTTTGCTTAGGACATAGGTGTGAGGTACGGAATATCTTCATTGCGTACGACGATAAGGACTGCAATCGGATCAAGAAGAAACTAGAGGGGGATCGGCGGTAGGTGATATTTACCTCCACCAAAGATGACAGGCTAACAGCGACAGTATACAACTGCCAGAGGGCCTAAGTCCTTTGTCTCCCTCCAAGATACTAGTACAAACCGGACCTAGCTTCTTAGATACCGGATGTACACATCCAGCGATAATAGAAGTAACTCTAGTATCATCTGGTCAGTCACACCTGAGCCTCCGTTGTTGCATCCTGCTAATTCTGCGCAGGCTCATATGAGACACCGCCCAGCGGGAACCTTGCGAATAACCTCGTACTATTGAGTCTCCGAGCCGATGGGGTCTTGAAAACATTTTACGCCTTGAACATGCTATACCTCGTCAGAACGCTGCTCCACTTCTGTCAGATTCGCAGTCTAACCTGGGAACCACGGGAGGGTATTTTGTTCCTATGTCAACTCTATAGGACTCAAGTAGAGGCGATCCGCTGTCATTTGCAGCCGAAAATCGTCGAAGAGAACTTCTTGCGTACAGCTTTCCTCAACAAGCTTCCCGTTCAGGAGCAACGCAAATGCTACCAAACCTTGCTGGCGCAGGAGCATCCATCACTCAAGACGCTAGCACCTTCACAACCGGAGGTAACCCACCCTCGATCGCAGTCCGCTTCTGGAGTCACAAGGTCTCAGGGAATTGCGCGCGCCTCATTACCAGACTTTCTATGTCCACCGCAGTCGCAACACGTCAACTTATCACAAATGCCTACGGCGCAGACAGCCCCAAAGCTCGTACAACCTACGCGGATATCTCCACAAGCGACGTTTCCGTCAAAAGACTCGGCGTCCAGATACCGTGTCGTCAGTGCTCCAAATAGCAGACGCACCAGTCCTCCAGACCCTCGATTTGCAGTCAACCCACAGGCTCAGGCATCCAGTAATAAGCAGCTCAAGCTACAGATACCTGCATCTACCCAACACCAACGTTCGTTTTCCCATTCGGCCACAAATATCGATCCAGTCGCGATGCATCAAGTAGGACAGCAGTGTTCGAAATCGCGACCTGTCTCTACAGGTACCCGCATAGCCCAGCCTCCAGCGAAACATGCGCCCATGGCCACCAATCCTCCGATGCCCGGTGCTAGTTCCAGACATCAGATTCCTCGCAAGACTCTTCCAGACGTTTCAAGTACCCATGTGCCAGAGCAACGGTCGAGTAGACTTCACGTAGTGAATCCTGATGGCGAGGCACCACCATGCGACAAGTCGCAAGGAGAGACGCCAAAACTGCATCTTCTGGGATCCGAAGGGGTATATCAATCACCGGTCACTTCAAGCAAGCCCTCACCAGCCATCAACAAAACTCATACGGTATCGACTAGTTCACTTCCAGCCTTCGAAGTCAACGGAACAACACCGCCCAACGACATCCTCGCGGAGCTCTCAGCAAATATCGACGCTGCGCTACAAGTCAGCAATCACCCATGCACCTCTCCCCCACCGGCGACGATACAGCCACAGGAGATGAACAGACCCTTGGTGCCTCGCGCACTCTCTGCTCCGCTCAATACATTACCAGCAAGCCTTGCAATCGGCAACCCATCTCATCGCCACTCCACCACGCCACAGACTTCTAACCCAGCCGGTTCCATAACGCGTACGAATGCATTAAGATACTCCCAACAACAACCTTTAGCACCCAGTCTTGCGTCGATCATCAGCGACGGGCTTGCATCACCAACTCTCACACCGGCACCTCTGTCATTTTACAAAGCATATCAACCATCCTCTGCGCCTGCTTCACCGCCGAATTTGGATATGTCACCGCTGGATAGCGCGTGTGCTGAATACAATTCTCAGTTCATGAATTTCGGGCAAGTGAAGGATGTAGATGGTATGGGACAGTACTTTGCAATGCATAACCACACTGGCTCGCGTGCCGTTCGACCTGTGAGCAAGAGTTTCGACTCGAGCCAGCTGGCCATGGAGTATCGGGCGGCATTGCCAGAATTTGAGGATGGGTATGGAGGCAGGTAGAAAGGATATCTTGGTATTGATACACTTGAGAAGAGCGATTAACAGCATGATTATACCATTGATCATTATCCTCCGGCACGACACTGCCCAGTGATACCACAGAGGGGGGTATATGCCATATTCAACAACATTTACAATCACATTTCTCCGCCTCCATGCATATGACGCAAACCGTATTTACAATGGTACATCCTCCATCATCTGCATAGCGCCCTCTCTTCCCACTGTAAAAATAACATCACCCAGCGTCTTCGTCGAGAAGCCCGCTTCCGAGTAACGGAAGTAGTAGTCCCATTTCCTCTTGAAAATCTCCGCACCTTCATTGTCCATTCCTTCCTTAGCCTTCTCCTTGATAAGCTGCGGCTTGATCTTGCTCTCCCAGTTGTCCAAGAATTCTTCTCGCCATAACCGCAGCGCTTTCGCGTAGTGGGGACCGATGTTTTCTATGCTGTCGACGACGAGCGAGCCGCCGGAAGCGGTTTGTATGCTGGCGACGAGTTCGGAAACGGCGGGTAGATGACCACCGGGGAAAATGTATCGGCGGATGAAGTCGTCGGATTTGGCGTAGGCTTCGTAGCGCGCATCGGGCATCGTTATGCATTGGAAGCATGCTACACCCCCCTCCTTCTTGAGAAGCTTGTCTATGCACTTGAAGTAAGTGACCAGATATTCCTTGCCCACAGCTTCCAGCATCTCAATTGATACGGCCTTGTCGAAGGGTCCCGTTTCTGGCACCTCCAGACTTCGGTAATCGCACAGGAGGACTGTGATCTGGTCCGACATGCCGGCTTCTCGTATCCGCTCCTCTGCCAGCTCTTTTTGCTCAATCGAGAGGGTGAGAGATGTAACCCTGCAGCCTGTCCGTTGTACAGCACGCATGGCGAAGCTGCCCCACCCTGTGCCGATCTCCAAAACGTGGTCTGTCCCCTTGATGTGTGTGTTATCGATGAAGCGATCGAGCTTTCGCATTTGCGCGTCGTAGAGGCTTTCGCTTGCGGATTTCGGGTTCGATTTCGGTAGCCATATCGGGCACGAGTAGGTCATGTCTTGGGAAAGGAATGCGGCGAACATTTCGTTAGAGATGTCGTAATGTGCGGAGATGTTGAGGCGCGCGTTTTTGAGGTTGTTGCTGCCTCGTACCAAGCCGGCGAGGCCAGAGGAAATAGCTGAGGTGAAAGTTGAGCCATTGGAGAGGTAGTTGCGGTTCAGGATAAAAAGCTGTAAATGTAAGCTGAATGCGTCTCACCAATATTGTCTATGCAGCAGCTTACCTCGAAGAATTTCGTCAGGTCTGGAGTTGTGAATTCGCCCAGCATATAGCTTTCTGCGAAGCCCTGGCACCTATCAGCGCGAGCTCTTTCGGATGGTTAGGAGTGTTTTGGGGCGCACCATGTCTGCAAACAGTGCCAATCGCACCCAGAACTTCTCGTCAAGCACGTTGAGGAAAGCGATTGGGAGCCCTTCTTTATCAGATCCAAACGCTGCAGTAGCCTTGCTCGAGCCGCCCTCAAACAATACCAGCTTGCCATGCTTCAGATTCTGGAATTGCGAAAGAGTGCCATTTTTGCATAGATTCACCAGTGGTCCCCAAGCTTGCGATGTGACTGGGCTAAGTAGTGAAGACACAGCTCCCGTCACAGAGCTTATAATCGCCATAATTCAAGATGTGTGCGAATCGCGCAAGCCTTGAAGGTTCGATTGGAGGATCCTCGAGCGCAAAGTAGGGGAACTGGACAATTCCTAGTCGAGAGAAGCGTGGCTTCAATGCGATTCGCAGAATGAGGGTGTCTCAAACGATCTGAGCTTGATCACACGATGAGAAGCTGCAGGGTGGGCTGGCGGTGGAGGGGAATTAGTGCGTCAATCGTACAAAAGCAATGCGACAATGGTATCGTGAACGCGCCTGGAAGCAGAACTGAGAAAGAAGTCGAGTAACGGTAGCTGTTCGGCTAGCACATGGCGCCAGAGTGCATTTCAGCGTCCAGGTAGCTCGCCGTCATATCGCCGGAACGGCCGAAAGCCGACACGGTGCGTCCGGTTGCGCCGTTTCGAAGCCATGCGTGTTGCATTCTGTCTGAGGTGCAGTATCGGGCGAGGAAACCTTGCCAATTCGAGTGATCTATGACGCCGTCGATCCGCCTAAAAATCGCGATGGGCGTAAGATCATTGTAATCCTTACATGTTGCGGAGCTCGAGGCCATCCGAATGGTGGCCGGTGCAATACGCCGTCGTATTCATATCCGTTCCTGGTATCTAGCTGCTAAAACGTGTTCTCAGGTAATGGTGGAACAGAAGGTCGGTGGGTGAAGTACAGCCGCAGAGCAGGGTCCATAGAAATGTTCCGCCGGCATGCGTGAGAGGGGCAAGTTATGCAGGGGCATAACTCATCACGCGTCTCAGCCTTGCAATCGCAGGTCTACTCCGAGTCAAGACGGCCAGCGATAAGAGGTCGTATCTTCTGGAGCTCTCCATGAGCGCTGCGGGCCTTAGAATTTGTATGGTAGGCAGCATCTGACCGATCGGTGAATCTATAGCGACCCGTGGACGGCGGCCGCGGGCTCCGGGCTGCACTAGAAGGGACCTGGAAGGCGTGAACTTGGCGACGGGCAAAATGTGATGATGGCTAGAAGTGAGTAAAGGAGGGATGATGGATGGGGAGCTCATTATATCAAGCCAAGACCGTATGCTTCCTGCGGTTCCGTCGTCATTGTGAGCTCGTGAGCACCACATCAAGAGGTGATCCGTGCTCCGCGGAGACACGCTACGGCGCGTCGACGCGTGCTCCGTAAACCACCTTTCACATGCTGCACTCAGGCATAATTCCATACCATCGATTTAGGATATCGCTGAACACCTGCGAGATTACTCTTGACTTTACTATACACGCAATCGTCGAAGTCAACAAGCCATCAATATGCTGTCGATTCAACCCTCCAAACCTCAAAAATGCACGCCAAATCTGCTCCCCGCGCGGATAAACCACAATGGACCCATCAACGACGCAGAACGATACTGGAAACCTGAAACCGATGACAAAGGTAGCTCTCAAACCTGGTATTTGCATGGATACCAGACCTGACGTCCATCTAGGAAAGCGACACGCATACTTCCGCGGTCGACACCTCCACGGCACCACGCTACCTCTTCCTCAGAACTACACAGGCGCCATCTTACATGTCACCGATAAGCAATTACCGCAAACGCGAACACAACAACAACAACAACAGCCTGCAGATGAGGACGACGAAGATGCCGAGGTGGAAGAGCCCATGCCCGTAGAAGTCAAGATAGCGGAACAAGTGGGAGAGTTCGACGAGGTCATAATATGGGGTCATGGTGGCGAGGTGGATGGAAGTGGAGATGCCTTCGTTAGGGGAATGAACGAATGGGTCGGGTTTGCAGAAAGCATGCATGTTGACGAGGAAGAGGAAGATGGGGATACAAAACTGGGGGAAAAGAGCGCCTAGAACAATGTCTTGGAGTAGTAAAGGTCATATCGGACGGGGAGGATATTATGGTAGGATGGCGTTGGATAAAGATACCCACAATGCCAGAAGGTTCAGGCTGATTGTGCTCCCACGTTGGCATCAAGTCCCCGTGAAATCCAAAGCAGTCTTGCCAGCCTACGCGCCTGGACGATCCCCATATCCGGCTCCCCAATTTGCCCAACGCAGTTCTGTATCGCCTGGCGTTCAATCCTAGCCCTGCCTTGAGCCGCAACTGCATCATTCACGTATCTTGTCCACAGATACATGCACAGCAACATCCCACATGACAAAGACATCATGCAGCGACCTGATGTCCCGCAACGTCGCCGGCGCATTCACATCCGCCGCATTCGCAATCTCCTCACGCCGCCTGTCCGATATCCAGAAACGAAGCCGGCCCATGTGCGGCCTTGCGTACTTGTTCCACATCTTGTTGATGCCCTCGGCCAGAACATTGAGCCGTTGCTTCTCTTCGATCGGGTTGGTATTGGCGCTGGGTTGCAAGTGTACGTTGATGTAGTTGGTCCAGACACGTTGGTATCCGATCGTCATGTACTGGGTGTCTGAGTCGGTGTGGCCACCCCCGGTAGCCTTCTAGGCGAGATGGAAGGTTACTAGGACTAGGAATGGGGTCGTGTCGAAGAGGCGTGCGTGGAGGGCCGTGAGTGCATGGGAGAGCTCCCGCTTTTGGTATCTGCTGAGGAAGTGAACGTGGTGGATTTCGTAGTGTGGCATCGTGGAGTCTGGTTCGCGTTGGTACGTAGAGGTAATCGTCGCAACGGTCTGGAGGTAAGAAGTCGACGCGCGGCTGTTGTGCTAATAAAGCAAGGATGGGAAGAAGTACGAGGGTGCGACGCCTAGGTGAGTCGAATTGCGCGCGTCTGAGACGATGATGGGCTAGATACCCATAGGTGGAAGGCTCTTGTCCAGTGTGTTGATAACGGAAACCTGATGGATGGAGTTTTGCTTAGACCTCCATACCAGACTCGGTGCCTATTGTTCGATACCAACATTGCAGTCACCATGGTGTTGTACCGTCACTGCCAATGCCACTCACCCACGCCTTCCAACCTCTAGCCCTGTCCCAGCCTGTACATCACCAAATCAACCAATATTCATCTTACCAACAATTGCCACAAGATTCGAGTATTTAGTTTGCCTGAAGCGCGACTGGGTCCTCTTATCCTTTTTGTCAGGTCAGGGTTCTTGTCGGTTCGGCTCAATGCGCCCCGCTCCCACATGCGATTAACCGCGCGGCGGACTCACATCTGGGTTCAAAACATCCCACGTGCTCGCCACAACGTTGCGCAAACCCAACGATGGGCCGACAGAACGATTGTGGGTCAGGTACAGGCCGGCACATCATTTTTCGGTACTTGACGGGCGGGAACGGTCGATCTCAGGATTTGTAGCAAGGGATGAGTGGAGTAGAGCCGAATGCATGGGGCTCTCATTTTACACATGGTAGCTGTTATTGTAAACTTCTACTCAATCTTTGCCCTCCGCATGAGTATGCAATGCAATGCAAGTTCGCATTCATGTGCATCCTCAGTACAACGTGCCGCAACCTCATAATTTCGACTCCCCGTCACCTTTCATGCCAGTGTCTGAGAAGTCCACGAAGCTTTCCTCGCCGCTGAAATGCCTGTCATCATCGCTCGTTAGCCACTTGCCGTGACATAAGGCTACGGGGTCATCGGGAGGTGCTCGTCAATTGGGGTGTGTGGAAGCTGGATGTTGAGAAGCGTCGAGGCGATACCCCAACCGTGAGTTGTAGATTCTGACCTTGGCCAGTCTTTCCGGTGATAGGGAAAGAACCTGGATGTTATAAGGATGCAGCACGAGGTAGAACGACAAAGAAATAACATTGCACTTACCAGCCTCTCTCCGCTCCGCCCGAGAGGAAGGATGTTTCGGAGTTTAGTTCGCAAGTCCAGTTTCCTGCGACACCCTTCTCTGGATCGGCTGATCTTCTTACGTATTTTGACAGCCCAGCAGTGAAGCATTGGAAATCATCCTCATCGGGGTTCTCTGGCATCTGTCCAGTAAGTACCCGACCGGCTGCTATCATAGTGGCGGCATGAGTGCACAGCAAGATAGTCTTTGGCTCTTCGGGGTCGTTGTCTAGAGTTGAGACAATGTGATCCAGTGCGTTCCTGACACGCTCATGGAGCTCAACGATCATCTCGCCGTTGGACCCTGGCATATGTACAGATGCATACTCATCGTCAAGGTTCTGGAAGTGAGGTGTCAGGAGCTCGAGGTGCGGCGGAGTAGGATGTTCGAAATGTGCGCGTCCAAAGAACTCGCTATTACGCACTCGTCAGCACAGTGCCTACCTCCGTGTCACTCAGTGTGCACGAACCCAATACCGCGATCGATCCGTATCCTTCCTTTTGCCTTGCCCTCCTTGAATAGCTGATCACTAAACGGCTTCAGCGTCTGCAGACACCTGTAGAAGGGACTAGAATAGATTCTGTCCACTGGCGGTTCGATCTTGCTCAGATACTCGGCTAACTCCTTGCTCTGTTCCACCCCTTTGGACGTGAGAGGCGGATCAGTGGGGATTCCGGTCGGGGTCGCCATGGACGCGGTGTAGATACCCGTTTGGGGGTCTACGGACCAGTTGGCGCGAAACTAGACCCCGGAGGATACGTTAGAAAGAAATGCCATGCTAGGGGATAGATCTGCATGTGCGAGTGTGAGGGGTGGCGTTTTATGTGATACACGCGAAGGTGTAGGCAAGCGAGATGTTTGCGGAGGTAATGCAATGACGGAGATGGCTCAGAAGTAGCTGCCTGAAACGGAAGACTTCCCTCGACTACTGTGTAAAAGCATCGGAAGGCATGAAGTGCGGTGACGGAGGTTAGCTTGATACGTACCGCGTGCCGGACGATGTAGATGATCTCTATCATGGTTCCGTTGTCTTGTTACTCCGAGAGAGTTTGTGTACCGAAGAAGTTTATTTGATCGTGCGCCGTGCTTGCTGTTGGGAGTACGAGGCGGTTCTGGGATGAAGGGGGTAGGTGCTCGCAAGTTACCTCGGTAACTTTACCTTTTCGGGACGCTTCTCGAAGTCTCAACGTTGGTAACGAAGAACTTGGTACGCTGTGTCGAGTGCAAATCGCAAGGCTTTGCAGGTGCTGTTGGGATTTTACTGAAAGTAGCGCCTACAATCTGGGCTTTGTAGTACTGCTGCACGTTTGACAGTCGCATGGAGATTCACAGTACTCCAGGGCTGCTTCCACGCAACAAACCTCAAATGCCCGTTAGCAGCTGCTCAGGTAAACAGATAAGCGTCGACGGGATATTCACCTAGCACGTGCCGCAACCTTTCGCAAAGTCAGCGAAGATGATCGATATCGAGATTTACGGCGTCCGACAATGAGCCACTCACACATCATTCCTTTCATCGGTCAGGCCCCCACGCTCGAGCCGTGCCTAAGCGCTTCCAGCATTGACATGCGCTGACGCGAACTTCACACGCGCATGCACATGCGACAGAACTGCAGGACCTCGTACTTTTGCAGTCGTAGCTCAGGAACGAGCCGGCATCCAAACAATGCGCACCCTATGTCGCTACTCCTTACGGTATGCGCAAGCGCAGCGCAGGGGCACTTTGCATGTGCGTGACGCTCGTTGGTGGTATGCTGATGCGCAAGCCACGTCAATGCAACATTGGAACGGTTGTAACGTGTTTTGGCCGGGGTGTTTGGAATAGACTCGAATCCTGCAGGAATACGAAGGACCTGGCGGACGGAACACCGCTATAGTGAACGATAGTAGTGACGGGTTGGTCCTTATCCTTGCTGTTCATCTGCACTTCCGAATATCTCCACAGTACAGCGGGCGTCCGCGTTCACATGCTGTTTATACCCGCGACTAGCGGGATGTTTCCTGGGGCCAGAAGCGCTGTCACGATAGCGGCAGAGAAAGCGATGATTGTGGTACATGGGCTAAAGTCCTTCCCAGGTGACCAGGTTACGCCTGGGCGGGGTTGCAGATGTATGGGTATCATGTAGCCTGCTTGTAGAGGGTGTGCGAGGTGGATGCACAACCGCAAATCTGTATCGAAATGAAACCGGAAAGATTCTCGCACTGGTGTAGTCAAGCTATGGCAGTCGGTCACATCCGGTCGTGATGATCCAGTTCTTCGACCGCTATCAGCGGCAGCATACGATCGATCGCATCGCCCCGTGCTTGCCTGAGCAAGCAAGCACCTGCCTTCTTGAATCGCATTCGAAACCCTGGAGGGCTTGATCCTGGCGACGATGCTGCAAGCCATCGGTGATCACCAGACGGATACAATGATTTATTACCGCAGTGCCATCCGAGGCCGGCCTTGAAACGTCCATGGGTAGTCACAATGTAGCGCTGGCTTGACTCTCGGGGCAAATACGTTGACAGCCTGGGGATAATCAGCGTAAAGTTCGACTACTGGACAAAACTAGCGGCAATCCGTCTCCATCAGGTTGGATTCCAGGGTTCATTTGGTAAGAACGCGTCTGTGCGAGCAGCTGGTACGCTTCCAAGCTTCTGCCAGAAGGATAGAACTCCGGCCAGTCCCGACGTGCCGTAGAGGCACCGCTTGTCGGGACCGGGACAGGATCCTTGAAACTTACGTGTATTGAATGTTCATGCGTACTGTCCAAGAAACATATGTGAATGAACTCCACGGTCATAAAATAGTGTTGCAGCGTACACTTAGGTTTCCAAGGGTGCTGGAACTGGATCCCACAGCTACCTAGGTAACCAGTGATGCAATGTCGTAGTCAAGATCAAACCCTCGGACTCTACCATAAGACAGCTGGGATTGGAGATGACTTCCTCCACATTTTAGAAAGTGGTCGCGTCACTGCTGCCCAAGAATCTGACAGCTGCCGGTCCAAGCGTTGCAAACACATAGTATGTACTGACGGCGCAACGAAGACGGGATGGGAGTGAAGTACCAGACCGAATTGAGCAAGGCCGGGCTAGACGCCATCATAGCTAAGTGATTAGTACATGGCACATGCTCTCAATTTTCTCGGCGTGCATCAGTGGGAGGGGTGCTACATGTCAGGAATCATGTTGTCATCGTGTAAAGATTGAAGAATGCCGCAGACCGATGTAACGCAGCAGCTGTTCGTGACCGGGCGGCCCCGAAGAATTGATGCGCAGAGTTTCCAGTAGATGCGCATGCACTGTTGAATGTAGGATTTTTCTTGCGCGGCCAATCAACACCAAGCCTGCGCGAATTAATGAGCGGTTCAGCGCTAAGCCCTGCAGGCAGACGAAGCTAAAGCGCTTCTAGAAGCTCGTGCTGGCATTCTGTAGCGTTTCCGTTACTGACAGAATCAAGGTCCTTGGAGCTGGTGGTTGATGTCATTCAATGCCTATGCGCCATCATGGCGTTGCTTGTCAGTGTTCCTTCGTTTGCTTTCACGTGTTACCATTGATTGGGTAGCCGGTTCTCACGTGTGTAGTCTATTGGCCATCGCTTCGTCACATGCGCGTCCTGCTAGCCTGAAGGGCGGCTGTGACAGTGCGCATGGAAGACGCATGGATGGCTGATCTCGAGTTGCAGCATGATCGACGCCCAGATGCATGCATGTGGGGGCGTCTCTCATACCTTTACAGCTTCTTGAACCCACTACGGCCAATTGACCCACATCTAGTAAACACGAGGGTATGATGAACACAGGTACAAAGCGGAGTGGTACCTTTGAGATGTCGCCACAAAAGCAAACATCCCGCACGGGTATCTAGGGACTTGACGTGGGATGAATTGGGCGATTTTACGCACTTCGCGAAGTGTTCGCCGATCATCCTCATAGACCCCATGCCGTTGATGCCGATGGTTTCATTGCAGTCTACTATCGGAGACAGCCAGGTTCCGATAATAGGCATTATGGCAGCCGCTACACAGGGTCTGCAGAACAAGGAAGAAGCAAACAGACAGCCGCGCAGAAGTCGCCTTGTGGGATGGGCATTTGACCGGTGCGCCACATCAGATCTCGCCAATGTAATGACCACCATGGTGGAATAGTAGCTGATAGCGGCGGGAATGGGTGTGGTCGATAGGGATTGAGAGCAGACGAATGAGTAACGTAACAGAAGGATTAAAGACTAAATTATATAGCGTATTAAGAGCGAGTGGTCTTGGAGCGCGATTGTGATACCCGTCGACTATTGGAGATGGTGAACGTCGACGAGAATACACGCGCTATTTCGGCATGGTGCTGTGTAAAGGATATTCATCAGCGCCCGCTGCGTGTTGACGCGTTGAAGTCTTCCCAGTCTTCCCTAGCTTCTTCTCAGTGACAAAAACACGCAACACGATGAGATACCTGACGATCAAGAAAATAATGATCGCGGCGACCAGAATACCCACTATGTACGCTCCGACAAGCCCAGAAGAGTTCTTCTGAAGGTCAAGGAAGGGGTACACATAGAAGCCTTGGGTCGCATGCGTGAGGTAGGCCAGGCCAAGATAAAGAGCCAACAGGAGGATGATTGGAATCAGATCGAACCAGGGTAGTCGTTCAGTTCGGGGGACAACTATTTCGAAAAGGGCGTACGCCGAGTTGAGAGCATGCTGCGACGTGTTCGACCAGAGAGCGAAGGTGGTGGGGAATTGACCCGCAAGAAGCGTCCAGTAAACAACTGTTGGAGGTTAGTTCGGCGTGCCCAGACAGTAAATGCTGCCAGCTGCCCAAAAATGATGTTGCAGGGAAAAAACGAGATTGCCTCGAGGTACTTCGGCGCAACTATGGCAAAACGTGTTATGTAAGTTGACTTACTGGTCACTATCCACGGATAGACTACGATGGAAGAGTAAAACATGCTGTGCGCCACCTGCAGCGCTTTGGGCCAGCGTGCCAAAAACGAAGTTCCCGTAAGCCAGAAACTGCCGGTATGCACAGCGGCAAAGGCATAGTAAAAGGCGAGACCCCAATACGTCAGAACCGTGAAGAAAGAGAAGGATTGCTGCGAAGCGTCGGACCTGCCGTGGGTACCATTCCAGCCAAAGATGAAAAAGAGCGTGGTAAATGCGTAAATGGCCAATAGCGCGCGAATAGCGAAGAGGGCGGCTGGTGGGAGAATCCACGAGGTTACAAACCGCGTGGGATCAAAAAGGCCGGCGTACGGTGCCGTTATTCGCTGACCAATAGCCATGCTGGGGTTGTTGATTGGGATGGATCCTGGTCGAGTGCCACCAGGCTGGATGTCGTGTCCTCGGAACGTTTCCGACGCCGTGGAATCCGGGTCGTGGGTAGTGCGCGATGGATGACGCGAGATAATTCGCGATGGAGATGATGCGACGTGGTGTTGCGAGACAGCTGCAAAACTCGTTCACCCCCAATTTCCGAGGCTGAAGCTGAAAAGGGCAGTCACCGAGACCAGAGAGTCGCGCTAGCGATTGGCGCTATGTCGTGTTCGGACTAGCATCGGCGGCCGAAAGAACTGACAGGATCGGCCGCGTCTTCGTAACGTTACCGCTCTATCCCGGTCTACCATCACGTCTGTGGGCCCGTCCGCTTCAGACTCCCACGCTTGTAACCCCGGCAGCAGAGGCGAGGCACACTCCCACTTACACCCTTACGCTCCCTACGCAGGGTGGCCAGGATGAGGCCTGCAGCGCGCTTGGGCACAGGTGGCTTGCTCGTCCCTCTGCCACTGCCTTCTTCTTTAAGACTACGAGATGCCATCTGTTTGGGATGATACTACTCAGGATGATCACCCAACTGACAAGCCATCTTCCCAACCCATTCAGTATCCATCACTACTCGCCCGCTTTGCTTCGTATCAAACATCACCATGAGTGACAACAGCAGAATATCTGTACGTATGCATCTATCATTTCCTATGCACTCCGCTAACGGCTCATAACAGAAGGCACAGAATCTCGCTAGGATCAGGGACAACCAACGTGAGTGGATTCCTTGGATGAGGATTCGTCTTCAGGTGTCTGCTGTACAACCATAGAGAGTGGCGATAGCTTGCAGCCTGCAAACCATCCAGACGTGTCTTTGCAAGCATTCGATTTACCGAGGATGTTCGCTAACGGTACCTCTATCCAGGCCGATCACGCGCCCGCCGGAAGGAGTATCTGCATGAGCTCGAGGCAAAACTGCGCAGCTATGAACAGATAGGCATCGAGGCCTCTTCAGAAATCCAGTATGCTGCCAGGAAAGTACTAGAAGAGAACCGGAAACTCAGGTCGCTTCTTCATGGAAGAGGAATCTCTGAAGCGGAGATTGTCGCTGCACTTGAATCGACGTCCGATCGACACTACAAGCACACTTCTGCCGCCACCAGACTGCAAGCCATGCTTGAGTCAAGAGTCAACACCAACACGACCTCTTCGACCAGTTCGCCTATACCTTCATATAGCAGAGCCGACTCGTTATCTCAACACCTCCCATCAGTGCCGCATGCTACTATCCCATCTGCACGGCCGACAACACTCAGTTGCAACGATTCGCCCAGTCCAAGATCCGTGGTATCAAGTATGGGCACACCACCACCAGCGTCATATCCAGCGATGCATTATACTACTCCAATGACTCCATCAGCTGTTCAGATCAAGTCAGAGCATGTTCAGTACGACTACCCTTACGAGCAGACATATAGCAGCGCTTGGGCCTACTCAAGCGACTGCAACTACACTGCAGAACCGACCTCATATTACAACAACACCTCATCTTGTGTCGACGCTGCCAACATCATCCGCACAATGCGATCTGGTGTCGGCCCCGAGCTGGAAGTCGATCTCGGATGCCACACATCAGACCGTCAATGCTATGTCGACAACGCTACAGTATTCAACATGATGGACCGATATTCTCAAAATCATGCGGCTATATGAGAGAAGACAGTGGTCAGTCTGAGGATACGAGTGGGAGGCGCTCCATCATCGCCTACCTGGCCTATAGCGAGCGGAGCTATCGGAGACCAGTGGCGGCGCTTGGTGTGTACGACCCCACGGTGGCCAAGTCCATGTTGGCGGCTGAATAGGCACCTGTTGTGCTTATCAATAGCATCTTCAGTAGTATGTTGAGTCGAGACAATCTTTGAGAAGGTCTGAACAATGCATTGTGGCGAGGAAAAACGTTTCGCAGACCCCTATCGAGACCCTGCCACCGATACGCGTTAGTCCTCTTCACTCTTTCGCCCAGCATTACGAACGACATGAAAGAAGTCAACCGCTAGCACGAAAACGAAGCCGAAACTTCAACTCATTTCTTTGTCGACAGTCGGCGCATGACCTCTCGCCTTGCCCAGTCTATCTTCGTATGATTTATTTTGGACACTCCATTCGACGCCAGCACAGAAGCACCGAGCCTAGAGGGCTTGGAGATGATCGACTGAAGTTTGTAAATAACGTGTACAAATTACTATTGCAGCCTCTTTGGGCGAACATGATGATTTCATCATCATCGACTCCCTCCACGTTGGTCGCTGATGAAACCAGTCTTGTATTCTTTCATTCCTTCAGATAGACCGTATGCACCCTGTCGTCTTCTCATGTTGGCACAATTTTCTCTAGTCACTGTCTTGCTGGTGGAAGACGGCCAGGTATCTCCCTTTGTTCCGGCAGCTAACATGGCATGGGTGATGTTGGCAAACCCGGCATGTTCTTCTTGTCCTCTGTAGACAAAGGGTCATTCTTCAAAGAACACATACCCAGCATATATCGGACGCAACATCTGTATGGGTCAAGAATCCAATCTCAAGTCCATGAATTCTATTCTTGTCTGACATTTCACTTTTATCGGTATCGAGATTCCATCAAGATGTCTCCAAAACGGAAGAAGACAGGTCATGGTGACGATCCGCCCAAGGCGAAGAAGACCGGATCCGAGGATACTTCTGACGACGATACACCCAAGATCAATGTCAACTGGTTCATACCAAAAGAGAAGGGTAAGAAGGTCTACAAAGAAAAATGCGCAGCCGAGTATGCCCAGATCCTCTATGAGAAAGCGCGAGAAGAGATAAGTCCGCAACAAGCACCTTTGTTAGATCCGCAATTCCGGACGCCAGTATTCCAAAATAAAGGCAAAGATCTGCGAGCGGGAGACAAGTACAGGCCCAGCGCGTCTTTGCGCAACCTGTTCAACGATATCAAGAGTAGAAGTATTGATAAGGAGGAGGGCCATAGCATCACCCATTTCCAGCAGCAGTTTGGCGACGACGCAAACGTTGCAGTAGTGCTCTCAAGGGCGGAGAACAACGCTACTTTTGTTCTAAATCAAGACCAGCGTTTGGAAGTGTAAGTGCAGGTATGTGGCTCGTTGTCGCGAAGCTGATTGAATTTAGGACTGTGAACGATGTAACTGCACATGTAGATTTCATCCGACGGAATTCATCAGAGGATGGCAGCCCTATCGGTTACTTCATTCAACTCCCTCTCAATACGTCAGTTACAGTGAACGGAACTACCTACACCAACAGCGACGGCTCATCGTCCATGCCCTTCTACATTGGGCCGCTCGAAGGGTATGCGATCATTGAACTACTTTCGCAACCAGCGTTTTTCTTCAGAACTGCAGCAAGCTTGAAAGACACTTCATCACATAGGGCGGTATCTCAAGAAGAGCTCGATCGTCGCGATAGAAATGGCGATGTTGCTGTGGGAAATACGAGGGTGCGATGGAGGCCAATCGACGCTCCGCTAACGCCAGCGGGACCTGGAGTCACGGGCGTCGCAGAAGAGGTTGAAGAAGAGTCGGAGGATAACTTCATCGACACATTCACCGATGAAGGGAAGCCGATCAGAGATCCTGGTGCGTATATGCGAGCTCAACTGTTGTCTCATCAACAAAGTCGATATCGCGAGCTTGTTCCCAGAGTTCTTGCTTCGGTGAACTATCGAGAGGAAGAAGCTACCGGATTCAGCTACCAGCATCAAGGACAGACTTTCAGGCCCGGAAGGACGCTGTTGCAACCAATCGAGATGGAAGGGAACCATCTATTGCTCGCTGCTCAAATCCACGCTGACAAGCACATCACGCTCGAAGTCCTAGATCCTATGACATGGCGATCAACTTTGTCCAGTCGGAAAGCTATCAATGAACACATCAGAGAGACTTTGCGAAACTCCACATGGTGGCGGCATGTCTTTGACTCGTTAGATCAGATGGAAGAAAACCTGCCCGAGGCCACGATGTGGGTACCGGCTGCCCAGGTCACGACAGGTGATGGCAGCTTTACGTACACCGTCTTGAACGCGTGGGCGCTGGCGATGGGTCTCGCACCGAACCCGTCGTTTACACCCAGCGCTCATGGTCACGAGTCGTTCTTCATCCGAGCCCAACAAATCTTCGACCTGGCCCTTCAAGACACGTTGAACTGGAGGTTATTACTCGCCTTTTTCCGCTGCACCGGATTCGTTAAGCCCAGCGAGAGCAGCGAGAACGACGAAGAGGCAAATCTTCCGCATCTATCAAGGCGATTTGATCTTTGTAACCGCTCCTTCCATAAGCTGATCGCTCGCGCAACGGCTGCAGATGCCGTAGCTGAAGGCAAGAAGATCGATATGGAGCTGGTCACTTTGGGACTCGAACATGGGATGCGCCATGATCAAGCCTTCGTTGGAGATTCACTGAGCGAGCTTGAACGGACCAACCTCACTTCCATCGTCCGTGATGGTCAATGGAACTTCAAGATGACAGAGTATCAACCGGATGATGGTCTCAATGAAAGTGATCTCTTTCTCCCGCCGCCGAATCCGCACCTGGATACTGGCCCAGCCCCGAGAGACTTTGAACCTTGCGTGCATCTTCGTGAGCAGCTCAAGACACTCATTGACGCTAATCTGATTGCAACAAGTATCCAGGGCGAGGAAGAGGGAGCGGACATCTACCAATTATCGGAATCAGAGGTCACCAATGGTATCAAGGCTGTCATGCGATCTATCAATGATTTGCTCTCATCTAACCACGGCTTCTCGTTCGCAGAGTTTGCAGGTACCGTGTCTTTCTCAGGTACACAGGGAGACCGCAACAGAGTAGTTTTGGTGTCTCACCAACATGAAGGACATTTCATATTAGTGGTTCTCCAGTACGAGCTCAAGGCCAGCGCAAGTGAAGCCCGCAAGAGCGATACGATCGAGAGCGAAGTAGGCAAGAGCAGACCAGACAAGAGAAAAACAGGCAAGAGCAAGGATAGCGAATACGTCGCCGTCACACGTGTAATTGACTCTGCGCCATGGACAATGACGACAGGCGAGCGCGCCAAAATCCATGAGCAACTGAAATCAAGTGGCCTTTTGACAGCTGAAAAGGAAGAGTTCCCGGATAACGAGACACTGACACTGAAGTGGATAGATGGGCCTCAGCAAGCGCGTATTGATACATCTGGCTACTTCACCATCATCAGCGCATGGGCTATACTACTCGGTCTACCTATCAACAATGACTTCCACCCTAAGGAAAATTTCTTCAGCCAAGCTTCATATCTAATCGAAGCTATCAAAGGCGGACATGCAGACTGGAAGCTGATCTGGGCGTTCTTGCGCTGCGTCGGCTACACTCTATCAGACCAAGCACCTCCACAAGAGCGACGATTCAAATCTCGTCGCAACGTCGATGCTAGTGCGCGGCGAGAGTTCAAAGAAAGCAAAGAGAGGTTGAAGAAACGGAGAGAAAAGATCTGGGGACAGAATTACAAGTCAATGATGGCGAAATTGCCGCATCACCGCCTCAGATACCCACACTTTTCCATTTCGGTCAACGCAGGACTAGCGCACAATGAAGTCTTCCCATGGGATGATTACGATGGACCTGACAGAAGAGCACGTATACCCGAGTTGATCAAATCTGGAAAGTACACGAGACATCTGCAAACTACGCCTACAGTCCCCAATGCAAATCCACTTGCAAAACCAACCGCAAATCCACTTGCAAAACCAACCGCAAATCCACTTGTAGATCCACCTATAGGTCCACCTGCAGGTCCTGCACCGTTGCCTAGCTCGACAAAAGACCCGAAGACAGGAGCCCTAGTCACTACAGGTGGACATGTTGTAGCAGGTGCAGATCCGCCTGTGGGTGACAATCCCATTCCGAAGAACCTGGATCTTTTTGACAAAGTCGCTCGCATTCCAGAACTCCAACGTCTCGGCACTTTTGACGAGAAGCTTTCCCGTGAAGAGATACGGAAGCGCTACGACGCATCAGCAAAAGACTTCCAACCATGCGAGCATCTTCGTCGCACATTGCAGAACTTGCTGGCAGACGACAAAGTCAAGGAAGAGGTGAAAACCTTTAGAAGTGGCGAAAGAGTAACGACCGGGTTTGGGCTCTGGCTATCCGACGAAGAGGTGGCCATGCACGCCGCTGCGGTCACTTTGGCTATCAACGACACGCAGAGTATCGAAGAGGGTTACAGTGTTGTGTCGGCCGCAACTGTTGAGTCGTGTAAAGGTGTTGGCGTCAGCGTGCCTCCTGCACTTCGACCCGGCCGTCCTCTACTCATGCCATTGTACTCCGAAAGTCATTTCGTTCTGGTAATCGTGCAATTGAACGAAAAGGGCTTACCCGAAATGTCGGTTCTCGACTCGTTGTTCTACCATTACAACGCTGCTCAACGTCACCACATCTTTGAGATTGCCTGGAGGGTAGTATGTCGTACGGCTTGGTACAGGCGACATTTCCCAGATGAAGCTACTTTCGAGAACGCCAAGCCTTCTCATGCAACTTGGGTCAGAACCGCTCTTCAACCGAGCACGAATGAGTGTGGCTATTTCGTAATACTTAACGCCTGGGGACTGGCGCTGGGCTTGGAGCTCAATCCTGCGGTGCGACTTAAATGGACAAAATCGTTCTTCGATGAGCTGTTCGATGTTATCAGTCTTGCGCGTCTGGGGTACGCAGACTGGAAGCTCATTTTTGCTTTTCTACGATGTCATGACATCGTACGGAATGGCTCTGTACCCGAGAACAGGCGTTTTGCCCAAACTCATGCCATACAAGACGAAGATAGAATGGTAGAAGATTTGGGAAGTCTTGTTGATCTAGAGTCGGTACACTGGCAAGTGCGGCAGCAGCCCACGCTTGAAGAGAATGAGAAAATACGGCGCTGTAATCGCATTCCAGGCCTCAACGGTCTATCACACAACCAGACTGGCGGCTTCTCTTCCGACAAATGGACCAGTTCAATCAAATCGAAGCATGTACCTCGCCTTCAGCAGCTGGGTATTCTTAATGTCGACCATAACAGCTCCCAATTGGAACAAGCTTATAAAAGCTCGTGGGAGATAGTCTGCGAAAGATTGCTCAACTCCGTCCCAGGGTCTGTCGCCGAAATGACACGAGACACATTGATACAAAGTTTACGAGATCACCTCGACAACCACTTTGCTGAGGTGGCAAAACATTACAATGACACCCCTGGAGCAAGGGTGAAAAATGCCTATCAGACTTATGTCGCCCTCATGCGAAAACATGACGTACGGCAAAGCTTCGGAGATATCGGCGTCGGGGTTACGCTGTCGGCCAAGAATGACTGGAAACGGCATCTAAGCGATTCCGAAGTGAACCTGGCCATCGTGTCAGTTTTGGAGGCTATCGATAATCTCCAAGCAGATGCGCACGGGCGTATAGACTCCGCGAGGGTCTTCGCGGGAGGTTTTACGTTGACGACTTCCTATAATTTGTCACTCGCCCTCTCTTCTAACGAACCCGATGATGGGAGTCTCTTCGACAATCTGGCGCTTTCACGCCCTCGAAGGGCTTGGTTGATGCCTTTGGTAGTCAGCGAAGGTGGCCTGTTGGATGTGTTGAAGAAGTGGGTGGAGGAAAAGGGTGTGAAATGGAAACCCCCTACTAACAATCAAGCTGGAGGCCATACGCTCCTCGTGTTGATCCAAGAATCGTTCAACGATGAGGACGACGCTGATCCGGGAGGCACCCATTTCGAGATGCTATTCATCGACAGCTGTCAGAAAGTCTTCAAAGACGTGCAAGAATTCTTTGTAGACCGCCTCAGCAAGGCCCATAAACGTCTTAAGTGGTCAGACCATCGCCATGTTTGGGACGCCGTCACACCTCGCGACACACATGACGATATAGAAGTTCCCCAGCAGGAAGGCGGCGGCTGGCAATGCGGGCATCACACCGTGATCAACGCCTGGATAATTGCGATGGGTCTTCATCCCAAAGTGAACGCAACTTACAACGAGATCACATATACCATGATCTACAGGTTCGCTCAAATGGCCACTGCCGGCATACTAGACTGGCGGACGCTTGCTGAATTTCTTGTCGGCAAGAAGTTCACTACGGAGAAGAGTGCAGACGACGTACCAGTGTCTCGCCGGTTCAAGTTCACTTGTGCTCAAACCAATGAGATTGCGCTGGATACGAAGATCAGAACATACGCACTTGTAGACACTGCTCTTGGTGCACTACCGCCGACAGACACAGCTTATGACCGCAACACCAACTTTGTTCCTATCCAAGAGGAAGAAGAAGAGGAAGGGTTAGCACGAGGGTTTGAGGATATGGAATTAGATTTGCCTGATAATCGGAGGAATCCTAAAAGAAAACTGCGCGACGATGGTAGCGACGGTCTCGCTCTGTGGGATGATGTAGCCGCTGGACGGGACGGAAGACATGTTACTGCGGCCGACGCGCCGCGTCGAAGCAAGAGACAAAGGCTGTCGAACGGCCTCTCTTTTCTCGACGCGTACTAAAACGAGCCCAGTTTCGCAGCTCGAAGATCTCTTTTGTCGCTGTAATTTGTAGTAGATGCATGACGTGTTCAGGGAAGCCGGCACTATGGCTGCGCGTATTTGGGTTTGATCTATCGGATCATGGTTGAGCCAGAAGATGCCTAGAATCTAGGAGGAATGTATAACATGTATTCGCGAACGAGATAGATGAATGAGATAATACGGAACCCAGCCGTGGAGATGTGAGGGCGTGAACAGATGTGAAGACGCGATGAGATGTGGACCCAAGCTCCCGGCAACCGATGACGTAGCCCCACAACCTTTACGCGTCGCGAACCCCAAACCTCCACCATCCCAACCTACCGCTCCCAACACAACCCCACAGACCGCCAGGATGATAAGACCAACCCTCCTCTCCACCATCCGCCTCAATGCCTTCCCGAGCACCTCCAAACGCGCCTTCTCCCTCCTCAACCCCTCATCGCGCTCGCACACCAACCGCATCTTCGACCCCATCCGCCAACCCAACGACCTGCATACACTCACGCTCCTCAATGCCTCCGACAACCGCTCACTAATAACCTTCTGGACCGCGACCTGGTGTCAAACTTGCCAAGCCATCAAGCCGCTCCTCCGACAACTCATCGAAGAAGAAAAGATTGGGGAGCGGGACGGCGGACTGGGCTTTGTGGAAGTGTTGATGGACAGCACGTTGATTGAGGACCTGCCTATAAAATATCGCATCAGTAGTATGCCGACACTGTTGGCGTTTTCAAGACAGGAGGCGCAGTTCGATACGAGGTTGACGCGGCCCGAGAAGATGCGGAATAAGGACTTTTTGAGGGAGTGGTTGGTGAAGGAGGCGCAGAGGGGAGGGAGGATGGGCGGCGGCGGGGGCAGTATGTTTGGTTAGTTTCACGTGTCCTTGTGTTGTGCTTGGATGGAATGCTGGGCCTGACGGTGTTCAAGGTGCGAAGGAAGATGGCGAGCAGGGCAAAGCGGGTGATGAGAAGTGACAGGCGATAACCAAACATGGGACGGAGGTATGCTGTAGGCGCAACAAGGTGGCAGTGCGGTCAGGAGCTGTGGAGTAGCGAATGATCCGCGTTCGTGTGACATAGTGAGTGAAGTAAAGCTCGGTCGAGCAAACACTGTTATTCGACTCTCACGTGCGGGAGTGATTCCATAACCCCGTTTTCTTCTCTCACCTTTCTCTTGGAAAATTCCCTTCCTTCATCCACCAATAGATCTCTACCATGACAAAATTGCCGATATTTCAAGACTACGAGGCCGCTGTCGTGAAGGGTACTAGGCTACTCCAGATACTGGCCGCGAGGGACAAGACACAAGTTCAAAGCGCATTCGAGGAAGTACAAGAACTAGCCCAACGTGGCTACCTTCTGAAGCCTCAAGACAAGTTCTTTGAAATCGACTGTATCGCCGATGCGCTCTGCGATCTAGGTGTCAGCGACAAGATGGTGTATGATGGCGGAGAGAACATGAGAACACATCATGTGCATGACTGCGACGGAGCAGCAACGCGAGGAGATGATACGGTAAGTTTCGAGATGGACTAAAGGTACGCGTGTTCTAATGAGCCATCAGACAACACACGGCTACTTCTCCCAAGTCAGCAACCCACTGTCTGGTGTCTTGATCGCAGACAGTAATCTCACTCGCACGCATGCAGCGAAATTTGATGACGCATGGGAAGAAGAAGCTATAGGACTATCGCCACTGCGACACTGGTCAGACGTAGCGTTTCTACAATACCTTTCTTCTTTCCCCGAACCACCCGTACGGCCGATTCCGCTCAACTACGTCTTTCGCGTCCAGATACAAAACGCCGAGACGTCTCTGGTGCTCAACAATATTATCAGCAAGCATGGCACGTTTACATTCGAGTTTTGGCCTGGTATCACGTTCGGAATGGACACTGAAGAAGGCAAGGCAATCTTGGGGACGCCGAATGGTTGTGGTGTCGCTTGGATGCTTATTCAACATAAGAAGGCGTTTGGAGAGAAGAATATTGAGAAGGTGACTTTATTCCATGCGGCAAAGAAGGATGATTTGTTTAGATGGCCGACTTTGCTGTTTTGGATTGTGTAGACTAGGGGTCAGATGAGAAGATTGTATCTGCATTCACTTTACAATGAGCGAATTAGACAAAGGGTGGAACAGATCAGGCTACATGTCAGCTGCTTCGCGTCATACTGTTTGTTGACGACGCGCGTGACGCTCAACATCTCATACTCAAGGAACTCATAAATGCATCTGGATGGCAACATACTTAGTACTGCCGCGGCCCGCCTGCGACACTTTTGTCACTAGCATTCTCTCCGATGACGACCTCAATCAGTCCGGCAGTGCATTACGAGATGGCTCACGAGAAAGGTCTATTGCTGTTACAGATGTTGGAAGCTAGCTTTGATGAGCTTGGTAATTTACTTAAACACACAGATACGCCAGCAGAAAGCGAATACCTCGACTACAAAGATCTCTTAGAGAACGATTGGGTTGAGCGGTCCTCCGGGGACGATTCCAAAATTCTGGCGCGACTGTTGGAGGACCTTGGAATCAATACTGCAAGGAATATTCCGGTGTCTCATGATCACCGCGGCCTTGAACCTGTGGAAGAATGGCTACAAGAAGAACTTGAGATGAAGATACGCTTCGATTCAATAATCAACACTTCCGGTGGTATGATTGCAGCCATGAACACGTACAGCCCTATGGAAGAATGGAGAAAAGCGAGAGCGGATACCGAGAACGCTGAGCTAAAGCAAGCCGACCACAAGTCTACGGAAAAAGATAACCTTGGCGATGACGTTCCTAATCTGAAGTACTGGTCAGATGTCGCATACCTGCAATGGGCCATGCATGCCACGGACACATCCGACTTGCATTACGTGATGCGAATGAGCATCACAAACAAAAGCACAAAAGCCGTCATCCAACATGTCAAAGAAAAAGCCCATCCCAAAGCTTCAGGCTCACACTCATTCGACGTTGACGACCGGGATCAGGTAGCCGCTTTTCTAGGGACACCGAATGGAGCCGGAGTCGCTTGGTTGCTCATACAGCATAAAAAGCAATTGGGCCATAAGACAGTTTACAAGGTAACGGTGGACTGTCGTGAAATCTGGCATAATAGCAAGACGATAGTTCCAAGTTTGGTGTTCCACCTTCGCGACATGGGTACACCAAAGCCAGGCAGCGAGGAAGGTGACTGAAGCAAGTCGTTATGGGGGCAGAGCGAGCGTTGCTCTAGCAATGTGTCATGCCACGCGAACGATGAGATAGCAGGCAGTAGAACATTCATGAAACCACCCCGCGCTTGATCCACTGGAGATTCGTGGAAGGTAGAAGACATTGTCTCGCCAGCCTCATATATGAAGAACACTCGCTTTCTTCTTCTCCCAATAACATTTCACAGTAAGCCATGCCCACGACGATGAATTCACAGATCAGTAATCTGGACTACAACACTGCCGTGGAGAAAGGCAAGAAGATGCTCAAAATAATGTATGGCGGATCTGCTGTGACGCAAAGCCCATACTTCACGCCCGGGGAAGTAGAAGCAATGGGATACAAGAGAACAACAAGGCTTCGATCTGTCTCTGACCTGTCAAGAATGCTAGACAGTCTCGGTATTCAAGGCTTCAACTCTCGCTTCATCAACGTTACGGACGAGTACACAAAAGACGTTACCACCGGTGAAACACTTTCAGGCGCAAGCGTCGTGCGATTCACGTCCGATATCAACGTTGAAGCAGGAGTCCTCGTAGCAACTTACACCTACAGCCCGACATACAAGGCGAAGACGTCGAACTCGCCGGCGACCGCTCTGTTGCCCTCGTTGAAGCACTGGTCCGATATAGCCTTCCACCAATGGGCCTCTCAATGCGCCAAGGAAGAAGTACGTACCAGTAATCTCAGATTCATCATCAGAGCAAACATCTCGAACGAAGATACTTTGGCTGTCATTAACAATGTTCTCGACGCCCGACCTCGCCAGTTACAAGCTTGTACGCCGTCGGGGCTATATCTGGACATGGAAAGTGACCATGCCATAGCTCTGCTGGGTACAGCACATGGTGCAGGTGTAGCTTGGTTACTTGCTCAGCATCGAGACCAACTTGGCCATAAGAAAATTGATGGGATAAGGATATTCTACAGCGACGAGCCGCTAGAACGCAATAGAGCCCTCAACTTGCTCTTCTACCTTCGTGACGCGAATGCGAGTGAGAAATCTATTGAGAAGTTGTGAGGAATGGTGCTGAGCGAAGAGCGCGGCGGACGATCCTTTGGGTGGGCGCAGGCGTCTAGCGGCGGCAGTTTGTAGTAAATACAATCTTGCCGAATCGGATCAGAACCGAGCAGTTCCTTATGGTGGTTGAGATTGTTATCGGCGTAGAGTATGGATGAAAAGTTGGCGTTCCCGGTAGCGACGATGGATAGGTAGGCAGTCGCGAGGCTTGGTGGCTGGGACTGGGAGCCGGGGGTGACCGGAAGCGAGACGCACCCCGCAATGACCTGCGCGTCCCGCATCTTCATCACGATCTTCGCGTCTCCTTTCTCTCACGGTTTGCTTCTTCTCGTGATCTTGTCTGTTGAGTTCTATGTTTGACCTTCTGCTCTTCCCCAGCATGTCGCTATATGCAGCCGTCGAACGAGGTCAAGCGAACTTTACGCGTCATTAGCGCGAGCTGCACTGTTTACTCAATAGCAACCGCATACACGGGATGGCCATGACGCTCTTATGCTTTTTAGTTGCGGAGACGGCTCCTAAGCCTCGGCTTCGCGCACTAAGAAGTGTCTTTGTTTGGATGGAAACCTTACAGCGCGATGCACGCCAAGCTGGACGTGGCTTGCGACGAAAGTGTTGACCTCGGTTTCGCGTCAATAAAAAGACGAGGCTTGTATAAAGGAATCAAGATACTGCTTGATGCCAGTGCACGGGTAGTAAAACCACAGTGCCGCCGACATGTTCTGGTCTTCTACATTGGGCTCCGTTGGTCTTCTGCTCTTAACCAGCGGCGCGACGACAACCTGGGCCGACTATGCGTCCGGATACGATGTACCAACCGCAACTGTTGACGCGGGTGTCATAGTTGGAAAGACCACCTCACTTCCCCATGCACTTGGACCAGTGCATCAGTTTCTAGGTGTGCCCTTTGCATCACCACCCGAGAGATTCTCTCCACCGCGAGCTGCAGAACCCTTCCAAGAGCCACTCAATGTCACCGAGTTCAAATCTGCATGTATCCAACAATTTCGATGTACGCAAACCATGCAAGCGATCTGATATATGCTAACTGGAGTAGACCCGTTGTCAAGTTCACAGTTCACGCAGGCGGTCTTCAATAACCCGCCACCTGAAGAGTCGGAGGATTGCTTATACCTCAATGTCTATGCACCATCAACTCCCGCAGGCGGCAATGGCAGGGCTGTAATGTTCTGGATCTACGGTGGCTCACTGCAGTTCGGTAACGCTGGTCAAGAGCAATATGACGGGAGCAGTTTTGCAGCATACGAAGATGTCATCGTTGTGACGACGAACTACAGAACGAATGGTGGGCAACTATTAGCTCTTGATAACCATAGTTTCAAGTTCTAACAGCTTGCAGTATTTGGCTTCCCTGCATCACCAGAGCTACCATTAGCGGAACGGAATCTCGGCTTCCTTGATCAACGTTTTGCCCTCGAGTGGGTACAGCAAAACATCCACGCCTTCGGCGGCGATGCATCCAAAGTCACCATCTTCGGTGAGAGCGCGGGTGCTTTCTCGATCGATGCGCTCTTGACCAGCTTCCCCAAGGACAGTTCGCCACCATTTCGGGCCGCCATCCTACAAAGTGGGCAGTACAGCTATCGCGCAGCTCCTGCAACATCGAGCATTCCCGCTTGGAATAATCTTACAGCGACACTCGGGTGCCCAGGAACACACGAGAGCAACTTGACATGTGTAAGAGCGGCTAATGCGACAACTGTGCAGACCATCATCAACCAAAACTCGCTCGTCTTCAACCCAGTTGCTGATAATACCACTTTGGTATCAAATCCAGCGGCACAACGCCTAAGCGGCGATATCGCGCATATACCAGTACTAGGAGGTACAAACTCCCAAGAAGGCCGTGTCTTCTCAGTCGGCCAAACAAACATCACTGCCTTCCTGCAAGCGACCTTCGCAGCCGCACCAGCACTCATCCCCGCGATCGAAGCTGCCTACCCAACTGGTAGCAACGGTCTAACCAACAGCTACGACGTCATCTCACAGATTGTTACTGAGATCACCTTTCAGTGTCCACAAGCACTATGGGCCAATGCGACAGCATCGATTGGTATCCCTACCTGGCGTTACTACTTCAACGCTTCTTTCGCCAACACACAAGCCTATCCCCAACTCGGTGCATATCATGCTTCTGAAATCCCTCTCGTGTTCCGCACATACCCCCTCGTTAATACGACGACGCAAGAGTACGCCCTGGCACAGTTCATGCAAAGTACATGGGCCAAGTTTGCGAAGAACCCATATGCTGGACCTGGATGGAATGCTGTTGGTACGGGGGCTGAGGGTAGTGTCTTGGTTGGTGCCTATGACTTTGTGGCAGGTGGCGTATATCAGGACCAGAATGCCACTGTCGTAGAAGGAGATTGGAACTTGGGTGTTCTCGGCGATGTTGGAGGTGTGAGGGGAAGTGGCGTTACTGTGCTGCCGCAGTCTGATCTTGATTACAGATGTAGTCTCTTTAGGCCTATCTTTGAGGCTAATGTAGGTGCGGAGGGTATACCTCCATCTTGAGGTAGGAGTCCATGCCCCTAGATTATAACGATTTCCAACGTAGTCAAATGGAAAGCTAAAATCATGATAATAGATTCTGGTTTCATCCAAGCGTCTTGTAATGCTGTTACTATACCACCAAGTCCTTCAACCTATCGTCCGCCAGTAATCTGTCCAATATCCACTCCACTACGATCCGACTCACCACCCTCATGCATGCTCCTCTCCACACTGTCGATCAAACTCTCACTTCCTGTTTTGGTACCAACACTGCTACTTCCCTCGTATTCTTGCTTAGTGTTTTGTGTTACGTCTTCTCCGCAGCGCTGCTCGGAAGTACCCGAGGCGTTTTGCTGGCCGGGTGCAGCCTGTGACTGTCAGTATTTTCTTGAGTGATACAATTTTTCTAGCGTGGTTCTTGTGAGGTGGTATGTGAGGCAGAAGCTTACCTTATCCACGGACGCGCTCAAGCCAGCAGGGTCCGTCGACTGACCAGTTTTGAACGGAACGCTTGGGTCGCCCTTGAATGTGCCGGCTGTATCCTCGCTGGGGTTGACGGGGTTCTTGGGTTGGGTGTTTGACGATTCTTGGCCTGTTAGGGAAGACATGATGTGTATTCTTTCGAAGAGGACTGTGAAAGAGCAGTGTTAATCTTTGAAGAAAGCTTTAGCAGACGGCCAGCTGATAGTTTTGTAGGGTGGGTAAGTAGGAGTTGATGGTGTGGATTCGACGTCATAGTGACTAAAGATGAGGATGTGGGTATCTGCAGTGGCGAAAGAGCTTTTGGCATCAACGCGAGATACACGCGTAAGCCCATTTCTTCGACGAAGGAGATCTATCAGACGCAAAGTATGGTCCGTTCCTCACAGACCTCGCTAGTACTTGTACGCGCTTCCATCTCATGAAATTGTGATTCTATTCCATGCAGAACGCTCGCTACGCCAATGCATCTATTCAATACAGTCTATGCAGATCTATAGCTTGCTCTTGCCAATACCCCAGACCTCAGCCTGAGGGTTATTCGACTTCTTGTTTATAGACGCACCATCAGCGACAGGCTTCTCGCCCTCCTCAACGAATAGCGATTGCGACTGCTTCATGGTTTCGACGGCTTCGCGCTCGATGCGGTCAAGGAGCTCTTGGTTGGTGGGGATGTCATGGATGAGGCCAATTACTTGGCCAGCAGTCCAAACCTAGGTATGTCAGTCAACCGCACTTGAAAAGGGAGGTGTAAACTTACACCAAAGTCTGGGTCTCCGTTCAAGAAGACTTGGCGACCTCGCTTTCCGCTGACGAACTCAGCGACTTCCTCGAACTTGCCAGTTGGGCTTGTCTTCTCGACCTCAACGGCCTGCAGCGCAACCTTGTTGGCGAAGAGTCGCGATGTGTTCTTCCACCGGCGGAGCACGAGTGCGGTATCTGTCTCTTGCGCGTCGACGATGGCTTGCTTGATGTTGTGGTGGATGGGCGCTTCGATGGTGCACATGAAGCGCGTTCCCATGTTGATACCACAGGCTCCGAGAGAAAGCGCGGCAGCCAGACCTTGGCCGTCGGCGAAACCTCCAGAGGCGATGAAAGGCACACCACCTAGTGATTGCCTAGCTCTGCTGAGCAGGATGAAGTTGGTAATGTCCGTCTCGCCAACGTGTCCGGCGCACTCGAAGCCATCGATGGACAGGAAGTCCACGCCAAGCTTCACCGCTGACTGTGCGTGCCTGATAGTGGTGCACTTGTGCAAGATGATGGTGCCAACCTCCTTCAGCTGCTTGATCACCGGCCCCGGGCTGTTTCCCGCTGTCTCAACAATGTTGACCTTCTCCTCGATGATGACGCGGGCGTATGCGGCATAGTCCGGGGGGACCATGGCGGGGAGGAGCGTCAGGTTGACGCCGAAAGGCTTGTTGGTCATCGTTCGGCATCGGCGGATTTCTTTGCGAAGGTCTTCGGGTGTGGGTTGGGTAAGGGCGGTCAACTATGCAATCGTGAGAACGAGTTTGATGCGTGATGGGCGCCCGACGTACTATTCCCAGCCCTCCTGCGTTGCTAACAGCGGATGCGAGTTCGGCGTATCCGACCCATTGCATACCACCTTGAACGACGGGCACTACATCTGTCAGCTACCGGTCTCGTTTGACGTGCTGGCGAAGTTACCTCTAATGCCGAGCGCCCTGGTAAGCTCCGTGTTGAAAGGCATCCTGATTGCAGATGGCCCGATAAAGAGTTTTAGAGTTTGTTGTATGAGTGAGAATTGCACCTGAGCCTCAGACTGAGAAGTTATCTGACACTCGGACGCGCGACGTTACGGCCGTCGCGCCGGCTGAAGCGCATGTCATTCGTGTGGGGAAGCCATGTGCCTCGGTAACTCCACAGCCGCAGCACCAAACGCAGGTGCACGACCGTCGGGTGATTAGTCTGCGCTGACTCTATCGCCGAATGATTCGCTGTCACCGAGTCGCTCGTGATTTCTTTGCTGGAATGGCAGCTGTGCCCGAGTGGTGTTCCGGACGCGTCGCGAAAGGGGAAAGCTGAGCCGCAAGGTTGATGCCGTCATCTTCCTGGCATGTTCACATGTGTCTTGGCAATGAACCGTCACTCCAACACCACCCCTACGCATCTTAGCGATCATGCATCAGTCATCTCTCAGGACCTACAAAGGCTGGAAACAATCGCATCACGAAAGCACACCACGCAGTTTGTCGGCAGCTATCGTTAGTCCAGTTGGACTCCTCGTTGGGGCAAAGAAGCTAGGAAAAAGTACTCTGAATTTCAGCTGGTTGACTGCACTCATAGCACTTTATCAAGGGTCCTTCTCACGGTCTCTGATTTTCCTGTCGTATTGTCTGTTTCCGCCCAAGCCCGGACTTCTGCATGAAGCCACATCGTTCGACATGCGATATGGTCAAACACCAGTACGTTACGCTGGATCATGGACCTAGTCAAGACCCGACTAGAGTGAAACGACGATAGATATACTATGGCATGGCCTATTCTGGGGCATCTCATACATTTTGGGCCAGATCCAACCCGCATCAACGATCAATCATCGAGATTGCACGCTTGTAGGACTGGTTCAGAGCGACGGCAGCCCGACGATCCGTGGGTTCCTTACCGACCGTTGCAACGCCAACGGGATCTCCAAGAGCTTAGTATGCTTCCAGGCCACGTGGACTTTGGTCCAGATGAATGTGGAGTGCCTTTCGATATCGCGTCTGGTTGAGCTACTGGAACTTCGAACTGCATCCCTATATGGCCTTGCTATCTACTCTGGCTGGTATTGTAAGTTTCTTGAGATCGAGCAGCCTTTCACGCTCAATGTGCCTGGCGATCCCGAGAAACGGAAATTCGAAATGCGTATGAAGCCTGATGGATCACCCACCAACTGACTTCACATCCTTGGTTCAACAATCATCGTTGTCGAGCCTTTGAGCGAATTCTGTCCCGAATATGCGCAGTGCGGTAAGAGATCGGCATCTAGGCCGACGTCCAAGAAGATACTCAGAAAGTTCAAACCGTAAGATCCATAGGTACCATGGAATGTCGCATTGTAGTCGCATTGGAAGAGCGCTATTTAGTCGGTGTGTGGTTGGGTCAGCGTCACGCATCCATGTGCATTGATGGGAAGCTCCAACAGGTTGTAGTATATACCTGGCCCACCGTGATCGTTGTCAAAAGCACGCTTGAAATCGAAGTTCCATGACGGGAAGGTACATACCTAGGCACGCAGGCCCACGCTTGGCAGTGACGTAACGAGCCAATGACATAATTCAACCCCAGCAAACCCACTAGGTGGACAGTCCTTGCGGAGATTTTGGGAGGCCTACTTTGTTGGGGTCTCCACACACACGTCCGGTATATAGACCAAGATGCCAGGCTCGGCGCACCCAAGAGAAATCCGGCACTCCGATCTCCATGACCCATCATGTCGTGGTCTCTTCTTCTTACCGCCCTGACCCAGGCCGTCCGCGTTACATGCGCACCAGAAACATATAACTATGTTATAGTTGGAGGAGGCCCCGCAGGTCTTCTAGTCGCGAACCGACTGTCTGCCGATCCCGATGTCACTGTAGCCATCATCGAAGCCGGAGATTCTGGTTACGACAACCCCAACGTATCGTACGTACCGAAGTCGATTCTGGAATACGGTCTCTTCATCGGCACGTCAATCGACTGGAAGTACATGACGGCACCCCAAAAGTATGCTGGGAACCGGAGTGTGAACTACTGGGCAGGCAAGGCTTTGGGAGGCAGTACTACGGTCAATGGAATGACGTACATCCGTGCGGAGAAAGAGCAAATTGATGGATGGGAAGGGCTTGGGAACAAAGGCTGGAACTGGGAGAGTCTGCTCGAATACTATCTGAGGCAGGAAGGATTCACAGAGCCGAGTGAGGAGCTTTCGAAGGAAGGCGCGACCTTCAGGGACGAGGTGCATGGAACGGAGGGAGAGCTTGCTGTTGGCTTCACCCCATACTTGGTCCGTCAAGGGTTCGCCAAACTGTTCGCGGAGACCTCCGAGGCAATGGGTATTCCTTACAATAAGGAACCGAACAATGGTAGCATGCGTGGTTTCGACGTGTGGCCTATGACTCAGAACGTGACTGGGCCTACGAGGGCAGATGGAGCCAGGTCCTTCTACTTTCCTGTTGCGTCACGCCCGAATTTCCACGTCTTCTTCAATACCACAGCTGCACGCATCATCTGGAACGATGAATCATCCGAGACTTCGGAAGTGTTGGCCTCGGGAGTTGAGGTGATCGACGCGGGAAATGTAACGAAAACCATCGGTGCCTCCAAGGAGGTCATTGTCGCAGCCGGTGCCATTCGATCACCAGCATTCCTGGAGCACTCAGGTGTAGGTAACCCCGCCATACTTGAACCTCTCGGTATCAAGACTGTCAACCCACTCCACTCGGTCGGTTCCAATCTGCCAGATCAACCGCAGCATGGGATGGTCTTCAACTCGTCCACGAATTGGACGGGCTATCCTACCTTCGTTACGTTCTTGACAGCTTCTGATCTCTTTGGCGAAGATCTTCCCGCTCTTGTGGAAGAGCTTCAAGCCAATGTGAGCGCTTATGCTGCAGCGATTGTCGCAGATTACGCGCCCGATACCATATCCATCGAGACGCAAGAACGGCTTCTGCAGCACCAAGTAGATCTAGTCTTCACTGCTGACAGTGATGTTCCTTTAATAGAGATCCTCTGGGCCCCAACAGGAAATCAGATCATTGCGCAGCTTTGGGACCTCATACCGCTTTCTCGAGGCTCAATACACATCGAATCCGCCGATGCAACCATACCACCACGTATCGACCCAAACTTCTTCCAGATGCCCATCGACATGTATGTGCAAGCAGCTGCTGCAATCCGTATCCGCGAGTATTTCGCCACTTCGCCGCTCGCGGAGGACGCTGCAGGCGAAGTCTCTCCCGGTTACGAAGCGGTACCGCAAGGTGCTCATTGGAGGGATCAAGTCTGGGACGACTGGATCACAGGCGCCATGAACGGCAACTCGCATCCCGTGAGTACTTGCGCAATGATGAGTAGGGAGCTGGGCGGTGTAGTAGATACGGAGGGCAAGGTTTACGGGACGCAAAACGTCCGGGTTGTGGATGCGAGTGTGTTCCCGACTCAGATCTCGGGCCATCTTAGCGCCAGTGTATATGCCATTGCTGGAAAGATTGCGGACGCGATGAAGCAGAAGGTGTCGGATCAGAAGAAGTTTTGACAGGACTTTTACTGTGTAGCGCTTCCGATGTTGGCGGCGTATTGCTATCACACTGTAGAAGTCCCGGATTGCGTGGGTCTTCGCCTCCTCCGGGTCAATAGAGAGCTGCGTCGGTGAGACTGATGCATCGGTAGCGCAAAACAAGAACAAAGTTCAATTGGATTGAAGAGCGTGTACTGTTTTTTGTTGAAAATGATATTCCCTCCTGATAGGTGATCGAAAAAGGGATGGTGCCACGCTGCCCCACTTTTCATCACAGGGCAGCCGCCCCACGTCACCAACCCCGAGGCAAGAGCCGTACGCCGGTATGACGAGCCAACCACAAACACTCAGCTTTCACTCTCCAATATCCAGCTTTGGTCCTCAAGCCCGACGCGATAGCACAATGCCGTCGTTCATGAGCCTTCCGCGTGAACTACGTGATCAGATATGCGAATACGTCATACTTTCGCCAGCCCGGCAGCCACGAGTGCTCAATCAGACAACCGAAGAGCTTCTTGACGGATACGTGACTTATGAGTTTCCATTGCTATTCGTGGCACCGGGTCCCTCGTATCAGCCCCAGGCCTTCGTCTCGAACTCGACAAGATTACTGCTAGTAAATCAACAGCTGAGAACAGAAACGACGGAGATGCTAGAACGAATGCGAAGCATTGTGTACGACCTCGATATTGCAATGACCGACAATGGGATATTGGCAGTGACGTGGATCAATGTTCCAGTTTTGGCGACCAAAATCGAGCAGCTGGATATCACATTTCGCCTCTGTGTGACAAACGATAGCGAACGACTGAAGTCTGAAATTGAAGACATGCCAGGAGCGCCGGCAAATCCAGGACCTGAAGATTTCTTTGGGTTACCACCTGAACAGTGTAAGAGAAGCCTCCTCTCGATCAGTGTCAGTACGACATACTAACCACCCACCTCACTCTTCTAGTGGTGTGGGACTTCTATAGCATATTCAACCGATTTGCCTTCGTTGGGTCTCTAGGTGAAAGGAAGAATGACTGTGGGAGCCGGCATATATCCACCAGAACGATCAGCATTAACGTCGAGACACCATCTCCCGATCTTGCGCAGCTCGGTCTGATTCATATGTCCGCCCAGGCCGACACTGCAATGTCGTTTACTTCCAGGTACTTCCTGGAGTGTCTGAATTGGACTATACGACAACAGCTGAAAGGGAACTGGGAGTATATACGAAACGTCACTCTGCTTGAGCACGTAGATCATATTCTGATCTATCACGACGGCAATGAGATACATCGCTGGGATGTAGCTGCGTGCCTTGCAGAGTATCCTGAAGATGAAATGATCAAGTGGAGGCCACTTGGCAAGAAAGAGGCTTGGCGCAGAAGGAAGCAAAGAGGACTGAAGGTACCCGAGGATTTTACCGATCCGGCCAGATGGTGATACCGAGCCGCACACACGGGGAAGCTGTTGAGGTTCGGAATGATCTTGTCAGGCTCTACAGTAAAGGCTCAAGACCAAACCGAAGATGAATGGCTTTCATGCAATCACATCATGCAGTCGTCATGCAGTTGTGGCTCAGCGATGCTAAAATGCCGGCCACTGGCTATCGATCCTTTTCAATGCACAGTCAGCTGTCGCTTGCCGAACGATTCCCTCCACTCATGATAGAAGACCATCGGCTCCTCGTACCTCAGCTCACTTCTGCTGCTGATCGACCAATCTTGACAAATGAACCCGAAACGGTAATCCGAGAAACGACGCTAGCCGCGCTAGACAATATGCGGTTAGTGACCTCGAGGAATCAACCATATTGGGACAGCGATCTGCGAGGCGCTGAGCTTGACTGAGCTTGATGTTGTTTGGCCTCTAGTTACTGGCAAGGCTGAGTCTCGAGAAATAGGCCTTTTTGAACATAGCTGGGGGCCTGGAACAACGTGCGCTGCTTATCAAAGCAGCTTCATTATTGTGTTGAGCGTGAGGCTCGACATACTTATATCCAGTGTCAGATCACTTATCACAAAGCGATACAATCTTGATACCATACTATCACAATGTCATTAGAACCTCCTTCATACCAGAGCCTCTCTTTCGAACGACCGCATCGAGCACTTAGTTCACACAACGCTGCACCGTCACCATCGACTAACCTGTCTCCGCCGGATGATGAGTTGTCACATTACGCGACAGATTGGACACCTTACATATCAAGCACAATCCAGCCACAACAGTCTCTTCAAGTGAGCCACTCTGGAAACATTGCCAGTAAGCCTTGCTGACTTGACAAGAAACCCGTTGTGATACCAAGACTCGATGCGAATGGTCTACTTGGAACGCCATTTCCATTCATACGAGCTTACAGTCCCGATTTGCGCTGCTTCAACATCCATGAGAAAAATTTTGTAGCATTCATCGATGATCTCAGTGTCGCTCAAGCCCCACCAGTCCCGCTTCAGGCGCTTGATGCAGCGGGTCATGTGGTTGGCATTGTGTGAGTTGACTTCTCTTGTTAGCTCTTACAGGTTTCTCATACAGGTGCTAGACCACATCATTGGACCATGATCGCCGGCGCCAGCATGAACATGGCCGCCGGCGTTGGAACGGCTGCCACGACCACTATGCGAACCCGGCGCTTCCTGAAGGCTGTGAACCGGGAATACTTCGCGCCTCGTGGTCTGAAAGCGTCGATTTGCAAGAACAGACAGTTGGAAGAGAAACTTGGCTGCAATATGCAGATGCCATCGTCGGCGTAAGTTTAGTCCTGCCGTAGGTATTCCCCGTTTCTGACTTCGCAAAGAGACCTAGGAAGTAGCTCTCAGCCTCAAACAGCTGGATACCGCCGATTGCAAGCGCTGACGCCCTACATCGCACCGCTGTCGTTCAACGTCCCATCGCCAATAGAGCAGCGAAGTGCTCTCGACAGAATGGCTGCAAAGCAGATCGAACGACGTATCAAGAAGAAAGAAGAGAAGGGCTACAGCTCAGACTCAAGCTCTAGTTCAGAGCCTAGCATCAGCTCCAACGAAGAGTCCGCCCTGGTGTCTCACGATGAGGTCAGCGGCAAACAAAAGAGAAGAGCGGACAAAGCGGAGCGCAAACGAGCGAAGAATGAAGAGAAGAAGGCGCGAAAGAAAGAGAGGAGATCTCAGAAACAGGACCGGAAAGGGGCCAAAGCTCATGTTAAGGAGGGTAAGAAGTTGGAGAAGGAGCAGAAGATGGTCGAGAAGATGGAGTATATCATCATTGAGTCGCTGAATGAGGGGATGTAGTGATACAGAGACTTCGTTGACTTATCACGAATGCCCATGTTTATGCGACAAAACAGTTGTTCTACCTTTTTACTTTACTACGACCTCACTTGCGAACATCTAGGAGGCTTTTCGCGGATCTCCAGGGCCCTCGTCTACCGGCCGACATGTCTTGCATGACAGATGTGATCCATGATGCTATTGTCGGCTCCTTCTCGCGGATCCCATCGTATGCCATGCGCAGAGGAAAGAGTAGTTCAAAAGAGCCCTGTTCGCCCCAGTCCTCTAGCTGATGGTACTCGACGCTACGACATATAGTGAGCGCCGCTGTCGATATCTGCTCCTGTCGGGTATGGTAGGCTGAAGATGACATCATCTCAGCATCGATGCTGTCGGCGAATCGGAGGGCCATAATGGTAGCGGCGTTATAGACTGTGATAGCGTTCGCGTGATAGAGTGATCGGTATCTGAAGGTAGTAGACCAGGCTGGATGTAACGCGCCATACTCGTCTTCTATGAGCGGTATCGGTTGACATGCGGATGTCTCGTAAGGGGTGTGAAATGGATCAGACGCAAAAGTCTCTCTCCAATTTTTCAGTTTTGCGATGACCTCATGACATTGCAAAGAGAGACTTTGCGTCTCAGCAGTCCTTGTTTCTTCATCTGCAACTGACAAAAGCTCATCACGCAGAATGAAGAGCTGAGGGTAGTCGGCAATAATGTCGAACAAGAGCTTGAGCGAGTCGATGTGCTCAGGGTGTAAGCTCCAGGGGATGTATTTCCACTTATTCTCCGACATTATCGTTGGCTTGTGCAAGACAATAGCTGCAAAGATAAGAGACGGGCGAATCCTATCCAAGATCCCAAGACACTGAGGCGATGCCATAGCTTCAGGTCCGCGCAACTCGAAGAGCCTTTCCAGCCCACGTGCATGGTTTATCCAACCATCGACACGATCCGAGATGAGGAACTAGTAGCGGTTAGAAAATGTGTGCACTGCAGAACGTTTGATGTACCTCGATGAGTCCCATAAGCATGACCGCCTCAATCAGATCAAAGGAAGGCGGAGACACCGAAGCCTCAAGAGCCGAATGCACGACTCTGAGTGCGTCACTGTACCTCTTGAATCCGTACAGCGTGATAGCTCTATCCTGGTGCTTGATGCCGAAGTAAGAAGTCGCAAGCGCAGAAAGCGACTTGATCGTAATAACCCCAGGATTGAACACCAACAGGCTTTGCACCGGCAGTAAGTTTGAGAGAGTGAACGCGGTGAAGACATCATCGCGAGAAGGCGACAATGCTCGATGAATTTCCTGGTGAAGTCGAATAGCAGTATCAGGCGTCCTGGTGCCGACTTCCACAGCTAAGCACCCGGCGACATCGCGATCGCTAGGCTGGGCAGACTGGCCGTGGCCATCGAATTGTACGAATGTGATGCCGCGGGTGCCACCACATTGTAGTCGTGCTGTGACGCACCTTCCGCACTGTGGCTTTCGTAGATCTCGTGACGTCAACACACGCGTCGGAATAGTGCAGGGGTAAACAGGGCAAACCTACCACATTTGACGCGTCGAGTTTTGCAGTTATCGCACGCTTTGGACCGTCCGCCGACTCCGACCATGTGAAAGATACATACCAAGATGGATGAGATGAGAAAGGTACCGGACTGTGAGATGACGAGTCACCGTCAGCATGGCGCGTGCGCGGCGCTACATTCGGCCCTCATCTCACAAGAACGCACCTGTGAAGACGCACATAAATTCAAACATCGATAAAGGCGCA